GGGTAAACTTGCATCATCCACTGTGCTAGGCTGCCTATACCCAATCCAGCTCTATCTATCCTCCGGCAAAATCGGCTTCCACTTGAGCAAGAATTAGAACATGGAGTGACACTCTGTGGTTACAGGATTGGAACAGAATCTGTAGGTCTCCACTGGGCTCACTGTTGTTCACGATGAAGTTATGTGTGTGCATGTGTGCTCATATTACTGTCTTTACATGGCGAAATAAAACTTTTAGCATAGAGTGGGCAGGGTAATGTACACTTTTAATCCCAGCACCTGGGAAGCAGACACAGGTGAATTTCTATGAGCTGGAGACCAGTCTTATCTATATGGTGAGCTCAGACCAGTGACAGCTACGTAGTGAGACTCTGTTTCAAAAAATAACAACAAAACAACCCAAAAGCCAAAGCCATGCCTCCTAGCATGGTGCTCTGCTATAATAAGTGCTCACTAATTAGTATCATTCTTGTAGTTACTCAGAAGCAAAAGCAATACACATTTCCACAAGCTTGGTAGAAGTCTGCTTGAGCATTGGTAGATGCTTGAACATTTATTTATTTATTTGTTTATTTATCTATTTATTTATTTAGTATACAGTATTCTGCCTGCAGGCCAACAGAGGGCACCAGATCTCATTCAAGATGGTTGTAAGCCACCATGTGATTGCCGGGAATTGAACTCAGAACCTCTGGAAGAACAGTCAGTGCTCTTAACCACTGAGCCATCTCTCCAGACCGAACATGCTTTTTTTTTTTTTCCCGAGACAGGGTTTCTCTGTGGCTTTGGAGGCTGTCCTGGAACTCCCTTGGTAGTCCAGGCTGGTCTCGAACTTACAGAGATCCGCCTGCCTCTACCTCCCGAGTGCTGCTGGGATTAAAGGCGTGCGCCACCAACGCCCGGCCTGCTTTTTTTTTTTTTAAGATTTTTTTTTTGTTGTTGTTGTTTTTTTTTTTTCGAGACAGGGTTTCTCTGTGGCTTTGGAGGCTGTCCTGGAACTAGCTCTTGTAGACCAGGCTGGTAAAAAATATTTGTATTTATTTATTTTGTATACAGTGTTCTGTCTGCATGTATTCCTGCAGGCCAGAATAGGGTGCCAGATCTACAGATAGTTGTGAGCCACCATGTGGGTTCAGGGAACTGAATTCCGGACCTCCAAAAGAGCAGCCAGTGCTCTTAACTACTGAGCCGTCTTGGGCACATTCTTATGTGGTGGGCTGGAAGGGAGTGTGCTTTGGGTCAGCCAGTTAGTTCAGGGTATTTATTAACAGGCTTTAGGAATTTATACAGACATGCAAATTTAGCATTAACTTTTTACTTGTTAAGTTGTTCTGGCCTGCATGCATGCATGTAGACAGAACACTGTATACATAATACATACATAATATACATATAATGAAATTTTTAATTGTGCTGGGGATAAAACCCACTAGCAAGCACTTTGTACTAACTAAACCCTACCTCCAACCCTTAACTGTTAAGCTGAAAATGCATTTAAGTGTTTTCAGCCCCTGGGTTGGAGTCAGAGCTGAAGCCTGTAGTCCCACTGTGGGTCTGCAGTATCAGTGTAGCCTCGGCAGTGAGGGCCTTCCCACTCTGCCATGTGAATGGCCCTGACATCCATACGCTGTGTTGGCAAGAGTGTCGGATGAAGGGTCCAGGGGAATGAGTGCAGCTCTTGACCTGCGGCACCAAGCGATGCTGAAGATTGAGTTGTCACGGGTGCTGATGCTTCATGTGGGTTATCGTTTCACTGTGTGACCTTGGGCTGATGATCATACCATTTTTGTTGCTTTGTTTTTCTCATTTCTGAGAGAAAGGGTGAGATGTGGCAGTGGAGTTAACTTACATTAGAGACTTTGAAAACTGATACTGAGGGATATATGTGTGCTATAGCCTCACAGAGAGGCAGGATGGTAATCTCCAGGCCTTTGAAGTCTCTGTTGCCCCCAGGAGGGATGCTGGCAAAGCTCTGGCTGATGGTGAACTTGATAGCCCAGCTTTGTGAGGGCAGAGTATGAGGCCCATGGTGGTGCTTTATCTGATACCTGAGATCCGGGTGTCTGTCTCCTGACATAAATGTGACACCTGCTGTGGGAGGACCAGGCCTTGGCAGCTGGTGTTCTGCAAGGAGAGGTTCAGCCAGAAGTAGGGGACAAGTGTCAGTCATCCAATCAGCATATTCTTTAGCTCCAATTGCCCCCAGGAGGCTAAGCAATGGCTGGGTATCCACTGGCAGGATTATTGCAGGTGCAGAGATGGGGAGGATCCCAATATAGGGCCCAATGCCTGGCATTGAGTGTTCGCCTAGTGAACACTGGCTGGGCCATGGGGAAAGTTCATGGAGCAGAGAGGACATGTCTATGGCTGTGCCACCACCAAGTCCCTGCTGCCCTGTCTGCTTGCTCTCTGGCTGGTAATAGCAGTTTACACAATTCAAAAGAAGTTGGGATCCCTGTCCTCTGACTCTCAAATCCAAACCCCCAACTCAGGAACAGCTGGGGGAAAGAGATGCATTTTAAGCAGTTTGTGAGTTGGACACATATAATTCAGTGCTCACAGCAGGCCTGGTGGATGGAGCAGATGCTTCCGTTCATCCTGACGAAGAAAGCAATGTGAAAGAGATGCAGTGATTAGCTCAGGCCGTTATAGCTGTCACTCAAAAGCCCGAAGACTGCACTGTTGACCATCTGAATCTCAGTTATCTCAGAACCCTGTAGACATACCTGTGACCTGCAGGTGAGGGCCTGGCTAGGTTTGACTTCACTGAGTTTCCCATCTTTTCCTCAATAGTACTATCCTTGGCCACAGAGAGAGCCGTCAGTTAAAATGGAATAGAACTAATGTCAGTGACAGTTCTTCATTTAGTCTAGACCTGAAATCAGTTCTGAGTACAGCCAATAAGCTTATTAAGGAAGCCAGCAGATGCTCAGTTAGCAAGAAGAGGCATCAAGAGCATTGTAGCCAAATTAGCTTAACAGGATTCCTCTAAAATCAAGGGGGTTGGGGCTGGAAAAATGGCTCAGTCATTAAGAGCAATTGCTGTGCAATCATGAGAACCAAGTTCAGATTCCAGCCTCCATGTAGTAAGCTGGGCGTTCTGCACATGTGCAGGGGGTGGAGACAGGGAGCATTCTGGGGCTTGCTGACTTTCAGTTTGGATAAGAAAACATGAACATTAGGTTCATGGAGAGACCTCTCCTCAAAGGGAGTAGATATAGAGTGATTGAGGGGGACACCTGATGCCTTCTGGTCTCTATGCATGCATAGTGCATGTACGTGTGTATGCATACAACACACTTTGTGTGCGTGAGATTTGTATTTTTTAAGTTATGTGCCTGTGCATGTACCCTTGGAGGCCAGAAGTTCTCATAACTGTATGACTGAGTACCTGCATAGTAACCCAAGGCCCAGATCCATAACTAAGACCTCTGAGTCCAGCATTCCTCAAAGCTCTGCTAAAGAGTGGCCAGAGGAGAAAACAGAAATGGTGACAGACATTGGCTTGTAAGGGCTGCCTTCCCTAATCTTGGGTGACAAGTCGATCTGTGACTCAGAAGTCCAAGCTCCTCTTTCCCCATCTGTGAGATGAGAATGATCACACCTGACCTAACTCCAGCATCTTAAAAGGCTCCCATGATGCCTTGCCTCTGAGATGCCACAGCCACATAAGAAAAGCCCCCCCCCACCATAGCATGCTCCAGCCTGTGATTCTGTGCCCATCCCCCCCCCCTTTAAGTATCAGCACTCCTGCACAGGAGATGTCCACTTTCTGTGTGGTCCATACGCTTTGTTGCACTCTGTGGTTGTTTTTGTTTCACTGAGACAGTCTTGCTGTGTATCCCAGCCTGGTCCCTGTGTATCCCTGCCTTAGTTCCCCTAGACTTTTGGTGTGTTATAGGCATCTGCCACTGCACTTAGCTGTTTATTCTTGTTTTGTTTTGTTAGCTATGTCCCTGTTGGTGCTCACATAGGGATCCCGTGACACTCCTGCCAACTGTTGATTCCCAGTTGTGCGTGCGTGTGTGTGTGTGTGTGTGTGTGTGTGTATGTGTGTGTGTGTATGTGTGTGTATGGCGGGCGACTGTCAAACTCCTTTTACGTGGAGTTTTTTCCCACATGTTGCATCACTCTGCCTCTTCCTGAGCAGTGCCTGTGTTGTTGTACCTGGCATGAACTCCAGAGCCGAGATGCAGCCCCACAGGGTGTCTTAATGAAGCAGCACACTAGGGTTCTCATCCTAGCCTCGTTACTATTTTGTTCTGTGACCCTGGATTTGTCATTTCACAGCCTTGGTCCCTTTTTTCTTTTTCTTTGACTCAGGGTTTCTGTGTACCCCTGGATGTTTCACCCACCGCCGTCCCTTGTCTCTTCATTTGTGTAGGAAGGCTTGCTTGCACATCAACACTTTCCTGATCCTGCCCTCCCATCAAGGTTTCTGGTTTTGCCTCCTCAGACGTGTGCAAGCTAACCAGTTCCAGAGCACACATCAGTGAGTCCCATACAGCCTTCAGATCAGCTCAGGGCTAGCTGGTCCCCCAAGTTTGCTTGACAAACACCAGTCCCTGGGTCACTCTTTCCTGCCTCCTCCAGCTCTGGTTCTATCCAGCAATCCCAGGGTGGTGAATGATCAGAAAGAAGTGTGCCCCTCCCCCTCCCACTTCTACCCTCCCCCTTTAGTCCCCTGCTGCTGTCCTGGAAATGGCCTTTGCCACCATTTCTTGACTGTGCCTTTTGTGAGAAATCACCCACCACGTACGACTGGGTAAGAACCATGCTGTAGTGGGTCCCCATGGTACGTTCTCTGATTTAGGGAAGGCAGAGGTCTTTCCCACCCTCTACCCATGGACTGTGGCTGAATTTGTATCTGCCCCTCCCTTATGAAGTGGGGTGGGGAAAAGAGAAGCGATCCCCTCTCTTATCTCTGCCTCCCTAACCTTATAGATTTACAGGCTCCTGAATTAAGCTGACCTTGTTTTTCTCTTCTTTCCCTTTCCTAGGGTATGGCAGCTGGAAAGAACTGGCCAAGGCCCTGGCCAACAGGAACATCCCTGCTGTTGATTCAAATCTCCAATTCTATCCTTCCCAGAGGCTGTGCCTTAAGGTATGAGGCAGGTCCGGTTCTCCCCCTCCACCGTACCCCTTACCTCCTTGCTGCTTGATCCAAAAGGGTCTTCAGTTGCTCCGTGGCTTTAAGGGAAATCTCTGTGTTATGTGCAGAGGGGAAACATCCGGGAGAACCCAATCTAGCTTCTAAGAAGTTCTGGATTGAGTGCAGATGTCTGTCTTGCCTTCCTCAAAGCCAGTGGCTTTCAACCTTCTTGATGCTGCAGTTAATACAGTTCTTCATGTTGTGATGACCCCCAACCATCAAATTGTTTCATGGTTAGCTAGTTCATAGCTATAACTTTGCTACTGTTACGAATCATAATGTAAATATCTGATTGCAGGATATCTGATGTGGTACTCCTGTGAAGGGGTCATTCCAGGGGTTGTGACCTACTGGTCTCTCTCTTTCTCTGTGTGTGTGTGTGTGTCTGTGTGTGTGTGTGTGTCTGTCTGTCTGTCTGTCTCTCATACACACACACACACACACACACACACAACACTTTCTGCATATTAACCATAATATCCTGGGGGCAGGACTGTATCTGATGACATGGTGCTGAAAACCAGAGGTGATAAAGGAGACAAATGCCCTTCCCTGCCAACAGCGGGGGATATAGTTTGTCATGGAACATTTCCCTATAGTGTTTCTCAGGTGGTAGGTTAGGGAATCTGGGGGCCATTCCAATTTGGAACTCCACCCCTGAAACAGTTGAGCCAAAAATAGACACAGAACCTCAAAGCTGGGCAACACCAAAGTAAATCTGTTGACAAGTATGGTAGGGAGGACTTGCAAAGTCTTTGAGGGGCTCCTTTGTTGAGACCAGTGACAAATCTGAATAGAACTTGGGGCAGGAGGGCGGTGTTGGAGGAGGAGAAGTCACAGTTCCTGCCCCAAGGGGGTCCAGATTCATTTTTTTCTCATGGAGCAGGTTGAAAAACTTGAGGGATGTGAGCAGGCCTCAGGAGTACATGCTGGCAAGGCTGAGACATTCCCCTCAGCAATATGGTGTAAATAATGAATGAAAGCGTCTCTCTCCCTCTCCCTTTTTAGATAATTTATTTATCTTTATTTTATGTGCATTGGTGTTTTACTTGTATGTGTGTGTATGTGAGGTGCCTGATCCCCTGGAACTGGAGTTACAGACAGTTGTGAGCTGCCATGTAGATGCTGGGAATCGAACCCAGGCCCTCTGGAAGAACAGCCAGTGTTCTTAACCACTGAACCATCTCTCCAGCCCCAAAAGTGTCTCTTAAGATGACAAGCTTCCTAGGGACAGGAGCTGTGTCCTATGACCCCCATCTTTCCCAGGGGCATCTTCAAGGAGTCCTGAATCCTGTCCTATCTCTAATTTTTTAACAATATATTCATTCACTAAGTTCATTCTTTGTTCTTCTGATAGGACCAAGAAATTTCCCGAAGTAGGAGTAGGAATAGTAGCTACTTGAAGTGGAACAAGCCTGTCCCCTGGCTTTCTGAGGTAAGGAACTCTACTGATCCTGGTTTACAGAGGCTTAAACAGATGAAACACAGAGGCCTCAGAACACCATCTTGTGATTATTGCTGTATTAAAATGTTTGCCTCTAAAGCCGGGGTGGTGGCGCACGCCTTTAATCCCAGCACTCGGGAGGCAGAGGCAGGCGGATCTCTGTGAGTTTGAGGCCAGCCTGGTCTACAGCACAAGTTCCAGGACAGCCTCCAAAACAATACAGAGAAACCCTGTCTCATAAAACAAAAACAAACAAACAAACAAACAAAAAAAGTTTGCCTCTAGGTTCATGAGGTTTTTCTTCAGTAGCACAAACATTAGCTGCAGGCCTACTGTGTGCCAAGCTCTGCATATCGTCTCACATGAGCTGCTTTGCTCCTGTAAGGTGTTAGCTCTCTGGCACACTAGCAAACACCTGACACAATGGACTCACAAGGAGGCTCATGGTTTGTTTAGCCTCTTACTTTGGACCTTTGAAGCACAGCACATCATGGTAGAGCTAGAGAATTATTCTAACTTCTGGGTGGCTGAGAGCAAAGAAAGAGGGGAGGGCTGGTCTTAACATCCTCTCAAGCAGCAGGACCCATTTCCTTTGGGCTCTGCCTCATAAAGCCTCCCCGCCACAACAGCACCGAAGACTGTGACCTGCGGACATTTCAGGGATGTTGTAGATTCAAGCGGTGGCAATCTTTATCTTTACTTTATAGGTGGGAAAGCCATGTCTGGGGAAGTTACATGACTTTCATAGCCTTGCCAATCCCCAGTCTTAAAGATAACAACTTCCCCAGGAGTGCTCTCTCAAACCATTAAGTCCCAGAAGATATTCCAGGAAGAAAGGAATCCATTGTTAAGTGAACTTAAAAAAAAAAAAAAAGACCAAAAACCCACTGTGCAGGACAACTGTTCTTGGAAATTCACATTAACATATGAAAGATTCTGAGAAGTCCTGGGGAAATCTGCTTAACTTGGTTTAGCTCAGCATGTCCCAGATTTATCTGCCCCTGAACAGCCTTTTCCATGAATGCCTGTTAATATTTGGAGCCATCAATGTTCTGAAGGACCATACATTAGGAATCTGCTTCAGAAAACAGTTATTATGGGACCAAAAATCACAACCAGGTGCAGTGGTACAGCAGGGTGAGCACATGAGCCGCACAGCAAAGAAACAGCCTGTCTCTTTACAAAACTGCAGCCGTTAAGATACCGTTTACTAAAAGACATTGATTTTCTTTTCTTTCTTTCTTCCTTTTTTTTTTTTTTTTTTTTGTGAGCATGTACAAGTTACCTTTAGTACATGCTTGTACCAAAATTCTATTTTACAGTTGTTTGGAACCCAGGACCTCCAGCTTGGAGCCCTTGGTAGAGACTACTCTTCTTGGCTGTGGTGTGGGGCCGTCTATTGTCTTTATTGTTCCTGTTACAGATTGATCTTGCAGCAGTTTTGTTTCCAACCCACCCACTCCAGGGCAAGAGAGACAGAGACAATGTTAGCTCCTCTACTTGATGAGACTGCCTCTTTTTAAAGCCCAGAGTGAGGGTGGATTACAGCGCTGGCACAGTTATTCTAGTTGACATCATCAGGCAATTGGAGATAGTATGCCGAGCCGTGCTGTAAAAAAGAGCAGGTGGGCCTGTGAGCCAGCCTTCTCTCTGGGGGCAGCTTGACTCATCTTCCCTCCCTCCCTCCCTCCCTCCCTCCCTCCCTCCCTCCCTCCCTCCCTCCCTCCCTCCCTCCCTCCCTCTCTTCCTTCCTTCCTTCCTTCCTTCCTTCCTTCTTTTCTTCCTTCCTCCTTCCTTCTTTCCTTCCTTCCTCCTTCCTTCTTTCCTTCCTTCCTTCCCTCCTTCCTTCCTTCCTTCCTTCCTTCCTTCCTTCCTTCCTTCCTTCCTTCCTGTTGTTGCTTATTTTGCTGTTTCGTTCAAAATAGAGTTTCTCTGAGCTCTGGCTGTACTGGAACTCACTCTGTAGACCAGGCTGGCCTTGAACTCATTGTATAGTTGAGAATCACTTTGAACTCCTCTTAATCCTCTGCCCTCATCTCCCAAGTGCTAGGATTACAGGCATGCACCACCATTTTTAGCAGGTTCTCATTTGCACTCTCTCTCTCTCTCTCTCTCTCTCTCTCTCTCTCTCTCTCTCTCTCTCTCATTTTGGAGATTGGGGTCTCTCAGGTCTCTCAGGCTAACTTGAAATTTATGATCTCCCAGCCTCAGCTTACTGAATGCTGGGATTATAGGCACATAGCACCACCATATCTGTCCTGGAATTGACTTCTTTTCTTTTCTCTCTCTCTCTCTCTCTCTCTCTCTCTCTCTCTCTCTCTCTCTCTCTCTCTCTCTCTCTCTCTCTCTCTCTCTCTCTCTCTCTTTCTTTTTAAGAAAAAGTGGGCTTGACTGACCTGGAACTCAAAGAGTCAGCTTCTGCCTACCAAGTGCTGGGGTAAAAGGCATATGCCACCACACCTGGCCAGGATTGACCTTTTTAAAGAAATAGTTGGTGTCTTAGTACATGTAGGTGACCTTTTAGTAGTAAATGACTGATTTCCATGGATTTCATCTTTTTTTTAAAGATTTATTTATTATGTATACAGTGTTCTGGCATGTTCATGCCAGAAGAGGACACCAAATCTCAATATATATGGTTGTGAGCCACCATGTGGTTGCTGGGAATTGAACTCAGGACCTCTGGAAGAGCAGCCCTTGCTCTTAACCACTGAGTCATCTCCCAAGCCTCGGATTTCATCTTTTAACATTAAAAGATTTAAAATCCCCAATCTTCATAGTTCTTTAGGGAGTCCTCCTAGGTCAAAGGATGAGTAGCATCTGCTGCAGCCCAGCCCCCATCCCTCCCATTACGGGGGACTTTTGTGTGCTTAGCTCAGTGGCTCTCAATTAGGGGGCTCACCCCCTTTGTAGGCAGTATGTCTGAGAAGCTGCAGTTAGTGGGGAGTCTTGTTCTAAGTGAAAAAGGACTAAATGTAAAGACATTTCTTTGTTTTCCAATCTCAGGCTTTGCCTGTCTGCTCTGAGGCCAAGGTCATTCCAAGAGGCAGCAGCCTTAGCTGTACCCTTGGTGTGTCAAGAGAGGACTTAGGGGATTGGACAGCTGGAACTGTGTTCATGGAATAGCTATCCTTAACCCTTCCATGTCCACTAGCAAACTCCAGTGCCAGCCACTTCATCTGTTGGTCAGTATGTAGGTTCATTGGTACATTCTGTCCATCTGGGTCGTTCCCCCAAACAAAAATAATTACAAGCCACTTGGTGAACACAGCTGACCTAAGCAAGTCACAGTGTCTGTGTTACTATACAACTTTGGTAGATGATGCTTCTCACCTGTGGACAGTAGCAGGCCAGAGACTCAGGGTTTTTGTTGTATTTGTTTCCAGCACTTAATCCAGAGCCCCACGTGTTGTTTCAGAATTTTTTTCTTTTTTCTTTTTTTTCCTGTTCCTTTGTTTTGGTATTTTGAGACATGAAGCCTAAAGCCACTTAGAGCTTATATTAGCTCAAGATATCCTAGAACCCACAGTGACTCCTTGCCTCAGCTCACAGGCTTCTGTCACCACACTCAACTGGTTTCATTTTGGGGCAGGGGGCAGAAGATAACTTCCAGGAATCAGTTCTCACCTTTGACCTTATAGGGACAGAGTCTCTTGTTCCCGCTCTGCAGTATGCTCTAGGCTAGCTCTGGGCAATTCTCCCATCTCACAGCAGGCCTGCTGGGATTGCAGACTTGGTACACTGCACCAGCTTTTCATGTGGCTGAAGATGGGGAGCTCCGGTTATTGGCTTGTGGGGTAAACACTTTACCACTGAAGCATCTCCCTGGCCCTTGTTACTGCTTTAAAAAAAAAGAATTTGGAGAGAGACCTGATGGTGGGTATCCCCAGCACTCGGGAATCTGAGGCAGGTGGATCACTCTGGGTTTGAGAATAACCTAGGCCACATGTTGAGACCTTGTCTCAAAACCAAACCAAAACAGCAACAAAAATGTTATTGAGATCTAGTTCATATTCTTTACAAGTCATTCACTCATAGTGTGCAGTCCAGGAACTTTCGGTGTGTTAACAGAGTTGTGCTTCGTCGAAGACTCCATGTCTGGCCGGCTCAGTCATTTGGTGGTAGAGCATTTGCTTGAAATTTGTGAGGTCTTAGATAAAATTCATAGTACCGCTAAATAAGTAAATAAACAAACAAATAATAAGGGAGCCAGGGCCGGGGTTGTAGCTCAGTTCATAGAGTACTTGCCTAGCATGCACAAAGTCCCTGAGTTCGGTCCACAGCACTGTATAAATGAGGCATGGTGCCACACACCTGTAATCCCAGCACTCAGGAGGTGGAGGCAGGAGGATCAGACGTTTACATTCATCAATGGCTACGTAGCCAATCTGAAACCAGCCTGAGCTACATGAGACATTGTCTGAAAAAAGCAAAAGAAAGCCCTGCATCCCCAGCCACCTCCCATCACCACACCCTTGCCAACCCCTTCAGTACGGAGCTATTATCTACCTTCTTTGTCATTTTAAAATTTTATTTTATGGGTATGAATGTCTTGCTGAATATATGTATGTGTTCCTAGTGCCCATAGAGGTCAGAAGAGGGTATCACATCCCAAGTTCTAGAGTTATAGGTGGTCATTAGCCACCATTGTTAGCGCCGGGAACTGAACCCATGTTCTCTGTAAGAGCAAAGTTGTTTACTTCCTGGCTCTACATTTGCCTGACCTGGATACTTCATAGAAATGGAATCATGAAATGGATCTTTTTGGTTCTGGCTTCTCTCACTCAAATGGGTTTGCAGAATTCATCCACAAGGAACATGCCATGTTTCGTTCCTTGTTGTAGCAGTGTAAGATGGCATCACATGGTAGGGCACCCATGAAAACCTCTCCAGCTAAGACAGCAGAAGGGATGAGTTATTGTTCATGTGTTGCATTTGTAACTAAGAATAGAGTGTTACAGAGTCCAAGATGACTCTCAAGAGACTGTTTTGGTCCTTTGGTGATGCAATGGCCATAGGAGTTCTAGATCACTAAGAAGAACATTCTAGGGGCTGGAGAGATGGCTCAGCGGTTAAGAGCACTGAGTGTTCTTCCAGAGGTCCTGAGTTCAATTCCTGGCAACCACATGGTGGCTTACAACCACCTTGAATGAGATCTGGTACCCTCTGCTGGCCTGCAGGCAGAAGGCTATATCATTTTATTTATCCCTTCCTCTGCTGGTAGACAGATTGCTGCTAATCTGGGGGTCATTTTGACTGATGGTGCTGTGAACGCTTGGCTGAGATTTGCTGTGGGTTGGGCTCTCCTGTTTTCAGAGCCCAGGTCACCATCACTGCAGTTTGTCTCACCCCCTCCACACTTTGGTCACATGATAGACACCTGTAGCATGTCAGTTCCTTATGAACCTTCTACACGAGTGGGGAAACTTCACCTGTTAGGTTCTACAGAATGGGCCTCCAGCCTTCATCAACCTTCAGAATGGCCCCCATCTTTCTAGCATCAGGAACCCCTCCGTTCCACAGGGAGCACTGGCATCTCAATGGTAGGCCATAGGTTAGGGGTGTGACCCCAGATTCCATTCCCAGCACTGTTGAAAATGGGGAGGAGTAGACCAAGCTCCAAATGCTGTCTAGGAACCGCTGGCTGATTAGCTGCACAGTAAGGTCAGATAAGGCCTCACTGGACCCCAGCTGAACCATTCACCAGGTGTTCTGGGCTTGTGACAGAGCAACAGCTACAGCTAGGGTCAGCCAGAGCCCACAACCGAGGTATCTGATCTCCTGTCTCTGTCCTACTGCAACAGCTCCAAACACAAGTGACACCATTTACACAGCTCAGGCCTTGGTCTTTGATTTGAGCGCTCTCTCGCTCTCTCCTATGGCTCTCTCTCTCTGCCCCTCTCCCTCTCTCCCTCCCTCCTTCTCTTCATCTTCTCTCCAGGTAAGTGCTATACTCCCGAGCTGCATCCCCGTTCAGTGAACACAGGAACTGGTGCAAAGCCCTCAGTAACGGAACATATTGCTCTGAATTCAGCTTCTATAAGCCTCTGTCCATTCAGATAATTCGGATGTACTGGGACATGGGAAGGAGTTGTTAGCTCGTTCCAGGGCACGCACAGAGGGCCTCGGAAGTATTTGAGAAAACTTTGGAAACTGCTGTGTGGGGAAGAAAACCCAGGGCCCGATCAGGAAACAGCATTTGGGAAAGCAGGGCAAGTCGAGAGCTGGATGGTTTTGGGCAAAGGCTGGAAGTTAGATGAGGGTAGGGAGGGTGTGGTGTGTGGTGAGTGCTGGGAAGGTGGGCCTTGAGGTTATTCTGCAGTCACCTCAGTTTTCAGCCTCAGAGCAACTTGCTCCCTCCCACCAGCTCAGCTGCTTCAGAACAGTCCTGGAGGTGGCAAGAGTACTCAGTGCAGGAGAGACGCTGTCATCCACTGAGGACACATGCCACATGCTGGCCCATCAAGCCCAGAAGGCCAGCAGAGGTGGAGTGATGGAAGGGAAGGCTGTGGGGCAGGCCTTACTCCACTTGCTCCCTTCTGCCCACTCCTTCTCCACAGGGCAATTGCTGTGTTCTCAGGGAGTCACTCCCTGAGCCCCCATATCCCCGTATCTAAATGAGACCATCCCATAGACACTTTCTCCACTACAGTAACTGAAGTCCCAAACCATCACAACTGAAGCTTGGAGGAAGCCCTCTGCTTCCTGGCCTTTTGCCTATGCTAGGCAAGGTAGAGGGGCCAGCAGCTGAGGCCGGCATGCCTGAGTGCCACATCCTTGCTAGTTCAAAGTCCCTAAAATGGAGTAACACAAATTCTAGTGTAGTTGTCAGTCTGGACCTGGAGAGGAAGGCAGTCTCCAAGGGTCTCCAAGACACAAAGGTTTGAGACTCAGCCAAATGCTGGGTGAAGTCTCTCCCAGAGAAAGGCTAATGCTCTCTTGGCCTGCCCTGCTGGCTTCCCAGAGCACCTCAGACTCCCATGGCCAAGCTAGATGACCTGGGGAGGAGCTGAGCAGGGTTGGTGTCTACCTGCCCTCAGGCCAAAGCTGCTCTCATGCCAAGCCTGGCATCCTAGCTCCAGATTTCACACAGCAGGCCTCTCTATCTGATGGCTATGTTCCCCCTCTAGTCCCCTGCTCTTCCGGGGACCAGAGCTCTCTGACCTGGAGGTCTCCTGGGGAGGGTCAAAAGCAGACCACTGGGAGGAGACAACCGAATCTTTTAAGCTGGAGTTGAGGAATTTCCCTCGAAGCAGCATAATGTCCTCATTCTTTCCTTTCTGGAGTCTCAGCCGCCTCCCACCTACCAGTCACCCACTTTCTCCCCCACCCAGCCCCCTGCTTGCATTCCTGTGAGTGATGGCTACTTCCCAGCATCCCACATTCCAAGCGTTGACCCAGCTAGTGTGCGTAAGGGTCAGAGAGTTACAAGCTAGTCTCTGTCTTCAGGGTCCAGCAGTGGGACCAGTGTCCATGAAACCTTGCCCACCATTACTGCATAACTTAGACCCTCAGCATTACCGTAGAGCATTTCCCTCGTCCCTACATATCTCTTTCAGAAAAGAATTGTGCGTTGGGAGGTATACCTGTGTGCTGGTGCCTGTGGAAGCCAGAAGACACCTCTGGTGTCATTCTTCAGGGTGTCTACCTTGACTTTTGAGATAAGATCTCATTGGCCTGGGGCTTACCCGTTTAGGACTAGGCTGGCCAGAGAGCTTTAGAGAGCCTCCTGTTGCTCCCTCTCCATGTTAGGATTCAGTGACTTCTGGGCCTGGGGCTCAGGCCCTTGTGCTTGAGCGGAAAGCACTGTGCTAACTGAGCCATCTTCCCAGTACCCATCCTGCGTCACTGCACAGAGGACCGAAGTGAGTCCTTCAGTCTGGGGACTGTTCCATTTCTGTCCACTTTGTCTTAAGACTCACTCAGATTTTGGATCTGACAAGCTGCCCTTGGGGTGGGAGGTGGGGGATGGGGCAGGCCCTGTTTGTGTGTGCGGATGAGACACCACCTGGAATGGGCTCAGCTCTGGTGAAGGACTGTGGAAGGAAATGGACTGGAGTAATTTGAAACTGTGTGTCAGCTGGGATTCTACCCTGCTTCTCTTCCCTTCAACATAGCGCCTCCACTCACCTGGAGTATGGCTGTTGACTCCTTCCTGCCTTCAGCGAGAGCCTCTGCCCCAGGTCTAGGGCTGTCCCCCTCCAATGTCACAGCTGCGAGGGACAGAGAAAAGGGCAGACAGTTCTGCTTCTGCCAATGCAGTGCTGCCAGGAGTCTGACCTCCAGGAGGCCCTGATGCTGCATGGCCGGGAGGGGCCCCAGATACCTCCACAGTCTTGCCAGAGTGTGGAGACCACTGTTAAGGCCTCTTGACAGTCAGACTGCTGCAGGGCCTTTCATGAGGAACAGGAGAGGCATGGTGGACAAGCTCTTGGCTGGAACCTAGCCAAGCCCCTCCTAGTTCCCTCTGTCACTTCTGCCATGGTGCCATGGCTGTTACGCCCCTCGCCTGTGCCTGAGGGATGCAAGACAGCGCTCTTCCTGCCTGGGAGGAGCAAGGAGTATGTTGTGTGTATCTGTAGGCATGGGTGCATATGTGACCTCATCCTTAGAGTCGGGCCACGGGGCTGGTATTAGCTGGTGACAAACATGCCTGACATAACCAACTCATAAAGAGGCAAGGATCGCTTTGACCCACAGTTTCAGAGGTTTAATCCTAGGCTTGCTTGACCCACTTGCTTTGGACTTGTGACAGCTGAGTACCCATAGTGGCAAAGGACTGGAAAGCCGAGTAACACAGAGAGTAGCTGGGATCCCCCAGTGTCCCCTTCAGAGGCACAGCCCAGTGACCTAGCTGTCCCCTGCTACATTCCCATGGCCTGAAGGTCCCACTGTCTCCTAGTAGCACCACGGGCTGGGAGCCAAGCCTTTCATAGAATATGCAGGAAGCGTGTGCCCATCTGCTCCGGGACCGAGCACAGGCTGCTCCTATTGGCTCATTGTCCCTTCTCTGCTCTGCACAGTTCCGGGGCCACGCCAATCTGCATGTGTTTGAAGACTGGTGTGGAGGCTCCATCCAACAGCTCAGGAGGAACCTGCACTTCCCACTCTACCCCCATGTAAGTGCCTTGGGGCTGTCTGTCCGCCGTCCCCAGACCATCTGTGTCTCCTCCATCTTCTCCTCCCCACCTGCCTCCTTCTCTGCATTATTCCCTCGCTCTCTCGGGGCCCCCTTCCTTGTTTAGAGTCTTTCTTGTTGTCCTTTCCGGAGCCTCTTGTGACCTGCCACTCTGCCGCATTTTAGTTAAGGCTCCCTTGGTATTTATCCGGGGCCAGCATGTACAGATGCACATGTTGTACATTGTGCAGAGTCACCCGGACCAAGAACTGAGTGGGACCTGGCATTTATCCTGGACTCCACGTGCCGCGCCACGCTTAGTGTCTCCTCGCTGTTCCCCTCCTGCTCTTCTTACCAGTCTTGAGTAGCCTGAGCTCAAATTCCTTAAACTCTTCTTTCTGATTCTGAGTAACAGTTCATCTTTCTCGACATAGATCCGCACAACCCTGAGGAAGCTGGCGGTGTCACCCAAGTGGACCAACTATGGTCTCCGCATATTTGGCTACCTGCACCCTTTTACGGATGGTGAGGCAGCCCCAAAGCCTCATCCTTCTTCCTGCTCTTGAGTTCTTCAGGGAGGTCCTATAAATATATGCCTGAGCTAGGAAATATGTCTGCATTGAGTCCCTGTTAGTCCATAATCAAGGGAGAGGGGAAACTGAGGCACGGGGCGTTCTCACCCAATATCTTTAGGTTGGTGCCTCTCTCTCTCTCTCTCTCTCTCTCTCTCTCTCTCTCTCTCTCTCTCTCTCTCTCTCAGCTGGAACTGGCTGGTCTCCATAAGTCTTCTCCATCTTCATATTTACCCCAGAATGTAGACTCACCCCCCAACCCCCCACGCAAAGGTGGGAGGCAGTAAGACACCGAGTGAAGGGAACTAAGGCTCAGGCATAATGTAGGCTTTCAGCCCTGGTGCCAAGGCCCTCCTTGGCTCACCCAGACACTCTGCCACCGCCCAGGGAAGATCCAGTTTGCCATTGCTGCCGATGACAACGCTGAATTCTGGCTGAGTCGGGATGACCAGGTCTCAGGCCTTCAGCTGCTGGCCAGTGTGGGCAAGGTAGGGTCAGCTCAGCCCCTGGTCTCTCATTGGCCCCTGGAGCAGTCAGCCATATGGCATATGAACTATTGGGAACCTCCTTGACTTTTAGCATCGCAGATGTGAAGAAGCCATACATGGTGCTCCTCATCTCCTCCCTATACTACAAAGGGCATGTGAGATGTGGGCAGAGTGGGACCCAGCCACTTACATCTTTGGGTTCCACTGTGCCTTAGCCCCAGGCTGAAGATTCATGCCGGGCTGGTTGCCATGGGAAGGCTCCCTTCCATCAGCGGGGCAGATGTGTGTTGGCCAGCCATCCTCCCTAACTCTGTCTTCTCTATCTCTCTCTACCTCTCCCTTTCCCCCCATCCTGCCCTCCTCTCTCCCCACACTTCTAGACAGGAAAGGAATGGACAGCCCCTGGAGAGTTTGGGAAATTTCAGAGTCAAATTTCCAAGCCAGTGAGGTGAGTAGAGAGGCCTGTCAGCTGGGACGGCCCTCCATCAGCTTGCCTCAGTGTCCACACGATCTGCCTACACAGAAGTCACCTGCCCTGCCCTTCCTCATTTTATAAATGCTTTTTTAGACTTTTAATTTTTTTAATGAGTGTGTTTTGCCTACACCTATGTGGTTGTGCCGTTTGTGGGTCTGGTACCCCCAGAGGACAGGAGGATTATTGGATCCTCTGGAACTGGTTTTATAGGTGGTTGTCAGCTGCCACATGGATGCTAAGAACCAAACCCTGGTCCTCTGAAAGAGCAGTGCTCGCTCTCAACTTCCAAGCTGTCTCTCCAGCCTCCTTCCTCATTTTAGATGAGGCCACTCAAGCCCAGGGAAGCTTTGTGGCTGATGGAAGGCCACACAGATACAGAGTGACGCTCAAGATTAGAAAACAGGTCTCCTTTCTTCCCACCCTTACCCTCCCATTCTCTCCAGACCTAGAAATGCTCTCACATAAAGGCTGCCTAGTGATTGCTCTGGGCTTAAGAGGGATCCATACAGGGAACCGGAAGAGTGACTTTGAAGTGATCCTGAGAAATCAAGCCTTTTCCAGGGGACAGTAGCTGGAATGGCATAGCTGGACTATGAATTTAGTCCAACTTCAGTCTGCCACCTGGTGGCCGGCACAGTCATAGGCGAGACCATATGCTGGCTAGAAGCCTCCTTGAGTAGACCTAGTTTGCAAAGAGCCTTGTTGCGAGCCAGCACTAGTGTGAGCATTCTGAGTTCCCTCAGTGGTTGATGTGAACCCTAAAGCAAATTACAGCTCCACTGTTTACTACCTGGGTGATGTTGAGCAGATTACTAAAGATTACCGCGCCTCCTCCTTCCAGTCAAGGAGTGTCAATCAAAGCACTGAGGATGGTCCTGGAATGTAGCAACCGCTCAGTAAGGCCAGGCCTACCTACCCCTGAGTGCTGTTTCACTGGGTCCCCCAACTGACTTGTGAGCTACTTATATTTATTTGGCCCTTGCAGAAAGAAAGTCAAGGTCAGATGTCAGGGGTGGATGGGGGATGGTTAAGTGGCGAGTTCTTGGGAAGAGAAAGGAGCACCAGGGAACTTATAGGTGGGAGAGGTGGACGAGGTGACCAGCTAAGGAGAAGCTCTTGTTTCCTGTCTCCTTCTGCCAGCCTATCAGCCTCCCGCAGGTACTACTTTGAGGTGCTGCACAAGCAGAACGATGAGGGTACCGACCACGTGGAGGTCGCGGTGAGTGACTTCGTCCCCCCTCCCCACCCCCACTCCCACGCCTTTCCCAGCATTCCCTTCCGCACGTCTCCTGAACACTGCCCCACTCCAGCATCCTCCAACGCCTGTGCCCTTCCTCTAATTCTAGTGGAGACGGAATGACCCTGGAGCCAAGTTCACCATCATTGACTCCCCCTTCTTATCCCTCTTCACAAGTGAGTAGGCTCTGCCTGCCGGGAAGCACGTGGGGCTCCATTCAGGAGAATGCGGCCCAGGGTGGGGTCTGAGGGGTGGAGATAAAGTTCTGCTACTTAGAGCCTGTGTATGAAGTAGGTCCAGAGAGGATGAGAGCCTGAGGGACCTTCAGTTGGGGGGCCTTTACTCTCTGGGGTCAGAGGCCCGTAGAAGAACATGTTAGACACGAGTATGATGGTTTCAGGTTTGTTGGTTTGTTTTGGTTTTTCGTGACAGGGTTCTCTGTATAGCCCTGGCTGTCTTGGAACTCGCACTGTAGATGAGCCTGGCCTTGAACTCAGAGATCTACCTGCCTTTTGTCTTTTAAATGATCCCAGGACTAGGGATGCTGCGGCAGGAGGATCATATATTCAAGGCTATCATATGGAGACTTAAAAATAGACACAAGGGGAGAAAAGGGAGAGTGGGGGGGGTTCCTGGAGAAAATATTTCAATATATGAAATTTAAAAATAAAAAAAATACAAAGTGAGCCTGCTATAACCTCTCTGAGCCCTCATGCCTAACATTTTAAATACAACAACAAGGGGTTCTGGGTCCATGAGGCTTACTTGTGGTTGAAGGCTGATGGACGGCAGACTCAGCATATTGTCTGTGTGTATTTGTACATACATATACGTATGTATACATATGTATGAATTAACAATAGTAACCAAAGACAAAGAGGCTATCATTTGGGAGTGGAAGGCTTGGGAGGGCCTGAAGGGATAATGGGAAGGGAGAAAGAAATGTAATTCTACTTTAATTAAACATGTTTTTAAAGCCAGTACTTTAATCCTAGTACTCAGGAAGCAGAGACAGGAGGATCTCTGTGAGTTCAAGGTCTGCCTGGTCTACGGAGGGAGTTCCAAGAAAGCCAGAAATTCTGTCTTTTCAAAAATGTATTTTTTAAATAAAAGGTTTACAAATGAATCCAGTCCCTATTTGCAGTGATATTTCTTACTCAGTCAAGACCATGAGAGAAATTATCGTCTACTTTTTTTTTCTCAGACAGGGTTTCTTTTTGTAACTTGCTCTGTAGACCAGGGTGACATTGAACTCACAGAGATCTGCCTGTCTCTGTCTCCCGAGTGAGCTCTAGGATGAAAGGTGTGCTGACTTAAGAAAAAAGTTGAAAATAAATAAAAATATTGAGCCAGGTGGTGGTGAGATCCATCTTTAATTCCAGCAGTTGGGAGGCAGAGACAGGCAGATTTCTTTGAGTTTGAGGCCAGTCTGGGCTACAGAGTGAGTTCCAGGACAGCAAGGGCTCTACAGAGAAACCCTGTCTCTAAAAACTACTGCTACTACTATTAATAATAAAAATAATGATGATGATGATAAATGTACTGGGGTGTGGCTTGGTGGTAAAATACTTGCCTATATTGTGTGCAATACCCTGGCTTCCACCCCAGTACAGAAAAAAGTTAAAAATTAAAAACAGTACCTTTTGCCGGGCGTTGGTGGCGCACGCCTTTAATCCCAGCACTCGGGAGGCAGAGGCAGGCGGATCTTTGTGGGTTCGAGGCCAGCCTGGTCTACAAGAGCTAGTTCCAGGACAGCCTCCAAAGCCACAGAGAAACCCTGTCTCGAAAAATAAAAAAAAAAAAAACAACAACAACAAAACCAGTACCTTTTAATCAGGCAGTGGTGGCACATGCCTTTAATCCCAGCATTTGGGAGGGAGAGGCAGGTGGATCTCTGTGAGTTCGAGGCCAGCCTGGTCTACAGAGTGAGTTCCAGGACAGCCAGTGATACTTAAAAAACAAACAAGCAAAAGAAAAATAGTATCTTTGGGCTTCTGTGGCAAGAGTATAGAGAGAAGTAAGGGTAGAACTCCTGGGAAGAACAGGCAAAGTGCCATCAGAGAGAGAGGGTGTGCTGGAGGAGAGCGATGTAGGGGACCATCTGGGCTCCCAGGAGAGGCGGAAGGTGTTGCTGGTTAAATAAGAGGTGCCAGGTGGGAGCAGAAGGGACACGCTCTGAACTGCTGGATGTCAGAGAAGAAAGTGGTATCAGAGCCCACTGATTTGGGGGCTGGACAGACGGCTCAGTAGCTAGGAGCAACTTTTGTTCTTGCAGAGGCTGAATTTCCAATTCCCAGCATCCACATAGTGTCTTCACAGCCATCCTTAACTCCAGTTCCAGGGATCCGACACCCTCTTCTGGCTTCCAGAGGCACGAGACACACACATGGTGCAGACATGCATGCAGGACATTTGTACCCGTAAAATAAATACATTAAAAAAGTAGAGTCCACACATTTGGTGTGATAACATCTGGGGCTGAAGACAGCACCCAGGAGGCAGAGGCAAAAGGCGAGCAGCCAACTCCCCAAGATTTATGTCTTTTTCACTATGTGTACAGTGTTCTACCTGCGTGCATGCCTCCATGCCAGAAGAGGGCGCCACATCTCATTATAGATGGTTCTGAGCCACTATGTGGTTTCTGGGAATTGAACTCAGGAACTATGGGAGAGCAGCTAGTGCTCTTTCTTAACCTCTAAGCCATCTCTCCAGACCCTGGAGCAGAATTTCTTAACCATCTCCCAACATGAGATGCTTTTAGCCTAGAAATCTGCACATGACTACAGACATATGGGTCTGTAAAGTAGGTATACACTGAGCATTTACTGATAACAAATCATATGAAATTCATTTTAAAATAATGTTTTTGGTAGACCATTTATCAAACATTAAAGAAAATTTGCACCAGACATTGGTGGCGCACACCTTTAATCCCAGCACTCAGGAGGTAAAGGCAGGCGGATCTCTGTGAGTTCGAGGCCAGCCTGATCTACAGAGTGAGTTCCAGGACAGGCTTCAAAACAATATAGAGAAACCCTGTCTCGAAAAACCAAAAAAAAAAAAAAAAAAAAAAGGAAGGAAGAAAGAAAGAAAAAAAATTTGCACATTAATGAAATGTATATGCTTTATTTTTACATAAAGAATTAAATCTTGGTTCTGGAGAGATGGCTCGGTGATTAAGAACACTTGTTCAGGTTCAGTTCCCAGTACCTACACGGTGGTTCACACTCACTTTAACTCCAGTTCCAAGAGACCTAATTCCTGCTTCTGATCTCTGTAGGCACCAGGCAAGCACATGGTGCACATACATAGATTTGGGCAAAACAATCATACACATAAAATGAAATTTAAAAATATAAAATAAACTTTTTTTAAAGAGCACGTTTTAATCCAGTGTGTTGGCACACACCTTTAATCCCAGTACTTGGAAGGCAGAGGCAGGTAGATCTTTGTGCATTTGAGGCCAGCTTGGTTTACAAAGCAAATTCCAAGACAGCCAGGGCTGTTAAACAGAGAAACCTGTCTTGAAAAGCACAACAAAACAAAAAAGAGCTCTTACTGCTCTTCAGAGACTTTGAGTTTAGTTCTCAGGACACACATCAGGTGGGGCACTGTTAGCCTGTCCAACCAGCTCCAAGATATTCCATGCCCTCTTCTGGCCTCCACGAGCACCAGCCCATATGGCATAGACGCACACAGAGAGGCAGACAAACACATACATAAAATAAGTCTTGGGCCAGATGTGGTGGCACACACTTTTGATCTCAGCGTGAAAGAGCTGGAGGCAGGCAGATCTCTGTGAGTTCAAGGCCATCCTGGATTATGTAGTGAGTTAAAGGATAGCCAGGGCTACATGGTGAGACCCTGTCTCGAAAACCAAAAACATTTATTTAAAAGATTAAACTTTGGCTAAATATTTGATGCTGTAGGAGGGATTGTTCACTGGCATCGCTAGGTGTGTGGCAAATATGTACATCATATGTTAATAAGAAAGGCTGATGTTGTGTGGTCTAACCAGAAACCTTTTACTTTTGACCCATTTTTTTCACGGCCCCCACCCAGTTACACCACTCCATGTGGGCACTTGACCACCAGCTTAAGCTGTGGGCTGGAGAAGAGAGATGTGGTGTGAGCCCCAGCCTCGGCTGTGATAAGCAGTGCTGTAGCTGATGGGGAGTGCAGACCAAGGAGGACCACTGTAGTGCTGGGGATGCCTGGGGAGCCTGGTTCACCATGTTCCCATGGTGCAAAGAGATAGTATAAGAGGCTGCTCACCCTACAGTTCGGAACTAGAGTGCATGGGTGGTATCATCGTTCCCTCTTACCAGAGAAGCCTCAGGTTCAAACCCCAGCACTGCCAGGAATACCCAGGAAGTATGATACAGGCGTAGACTAAGTGTCAGGTCCGCAGTACAGCATTTTGAGGGGGAGAGGCGTCTTTTTCTAGTCTATGAAAAATCATCAAATGCCTGGCTATGAGGTGAGGCAGGCTCACAGGGAGCTGGCTAAAACCACAAATAGGACAGGGGCTCGGGCACAGCTGACTTAACCTGCCAGAATACTGAGGCTGTACCTAAGCTCCTCCACCTGCCCCGCAAAACCCACTCGATTCTGCGAGGACCTACAGCTTCCTACTGTTTTCTCCTCCCTGGCCACAGATGAGACCACCCTAAGGATGGATGAAGTGGGCCACATCCCACAGACAGCAGCCAGCCATGTGAGCTCCTCCAATACGCTTCCCACGGATGAGCAGCCCCCAGCAGACATGCTGCGGCCTGACCCTCGGGATACCCTCTACCAAGGTAAACCCTTGGTCACATGCTGATGACCACGTTGAGGGGCTGCGCATGCCAGGCTCTGTGTTGATGGACAAGACTCGGGGGACCCATCTATTCTGCAGTAACCCCAGAGTCACAAAATCTCTTCCCCTTTGAAGTGTGAAACATAGCATGCATACCAAAATTGCAAGAGCATTTATATCCAAGTTTGTGATTGTACAAATCGTTATAGAATGGACATTATCTGACCACCACCCTAGACCAGAAATGGGATTAGAGTCCAGATGCTCTCATGCAGTCCTTGATGGCCACAAATGGAATCTCTTTATGGATCCCAACTCTTATCATCCTGTAAGGAATATGTTAGTCTTTTGTTCTGATGCTGAGGACTGAATCTGGGCCCTGTAACTGAGCGTGTGCTGTACCACAGAGCACATCCCCAGCTTTTACATCTTAAAAGCTGACAGTGAGCCCCATGTCTTCCCTTTAAAATAAAAGAAGGCAGCAGCCAGACGTGTCACCTATCTACAGTCCCAGCAGCCAGGAGGACGAGGCAGGGAGATGCTGAGCTTGCAACCCACAAAACCCTATCTCAGAAAAGCAAATCCAACAACTAGTGAAAACTGGACAGCAGGAAAGGGAGACAATCCAGCTAATGGGAGAACACTGAGGTGGAGCCTTGTGGCCTATTGAAATGTCCCTGTGTCTCAGGGTCCTCTGCCCCCACTGTTGAAGAGTGGTGGCAGCCTCACTGTGGCACGGTCAGCTGACAGACAGGGACTGGGACCACGGTTGTCCCCAGTGAATACAGCTGGAGGTTGCTTGGGTGGAAGATGTTTGTGCTCTCATTTCTTTACACGCTTCAATCCTTTGACCTTCTGTTCCCAGTGCCTCTGATCCCCAAGTCGCTTCTGCGCCATGTCCTGCCTGATTGTCCCTATAAACCCAGCTACCTGGTGGATGGGATCCCACTACGGCGTTATCAGGGCCTCCGCTTTGTAAGTCATGTCCCTAGACCTAGGAGGACTGGGAGAAGGCCAGCTGCCTATGGCTGGGGGTGTAGGAGATGGGGGACAGCCTAAAGCTGACTCTGTACTTCCTGTGCCCCAGCCCAACAGACAGGATGGCCTCACAGGTCCCTGGGCAGCACCCCTGGATGGGCTTGCTAGGGCGGACTGTCTGTCCTACAGAACCTGCAGATGGAGGCTCTGCCTTTGGATCTGTCTCTGGTTCTGCAGTCTGGTGACTCTGCTCCAAAGGCCACGCAAATCCTTCTTGCCTGCTCAGTCCCAGCAACTGGGTAGCCAGTGGCGTTTTAAACTCACAGACAGATGCTTGGGAGAATGTACTAGATGTAGGTGGTAGCTGTGTCTGTGTGGAGAGTAAGGGAGCAGAAAGCTTGCCATACACCCAGGTCTAGAGATGAAGACGGAGGGCCGGAGGCAAGAAGGAAGTGGTCCAGAGCCACGGCCAGCCCAGAGGGTGGGGCCATAATTGAGGACATGTGTTGGTAGTGGAGCTCAGACAAAGGAAATGGAGTGTGGAAAGATCTCAGCGCTGAGAGAGTGGATAAAGAAAGGTTCTGAGCTGGAAGGAGAGGATCAGGTGGCAAAGGGAATTGGAAGTGGTCTTGGTGACACCTAAGGGAGCCGGTCAGCCCAGGGATTTTTACTGAGAGCCCAAAAGAGCAGGCATGAGAAGACGGAAGTCTAGACTGCGTAACTAAATGCGGCATTCCCCCGCCACAGCGGGTGTGGCTCAGCTCGGGCAGGCTGGTTCCTCCCAGGATCCCCCTCACGTCTGCCCCTTTTTTCTCTGCTTTCAGGTTCATCTCTCCTTTGTTTACCCCAATGACTATACCCGCCTGAGCCACATGGAGACCCATAATAAATGCTTCTATCAAGGAAGTGCCTATAAGCAGGGCAGGTGTGCGGTCCTGGAGGGGACAAATGGAGGGACTTTCAGGGGGGCGCTGTAGGAGTCAGGATGGGCCTGCCTGCACATGTGTGTGTACACCCTCACAGAATGTAACTCCTGCCCAGGTAGAAACTGAAGAATCAGGTGCCGTTCACATGTCCCTTCCTCCTACAGGTCCGGCTTCCAGGAGTATATCAAGTTGGACAAGCCAGAGAAGCAGGGACCGGAGCAGCCAGGTACAGGGGACAGTGCAGTTAGGGCTGTCTGGGCGCACCTAGCTGCGATGGCCGGTGGCGGTCTCTTTCTAGAGGACTGTCTAGTCAGGCAGCCATGCTCTGGAGGAGCTTGGCATGCAAATCCCCTCATTGATCCCTCAGCACACCAAGGAGCCTTCCATTTCAGGTCTATGTGGGGAAAGATGCTTCTCACACCCTGGGGCAGCTGGGAACATGGGTGGCTGTAGGGACCCTGGTTCTGTACACTACTGGGAAGCATGCAATGGAGAAACCCTGTCCTGCTGTGGTCCTCCTTCATGAGGCAGGGTATGGCCGAGGTCACTTTTTGAACCCTAAATGGTGCTAGTGCTTGTGAGGTATTTTATGTCACTCAGCTCATAACCTTCTAAGAAGCTGTTCTTTTTTTTTCTTTCTTAAGCTTTTCTTTGTTTGCATATATGCTTTTGTTTTTTAAGACAAGGTCTCACTGTGTCTCAGGGTAGCCTGGAACTTGCTGTGTAGACCGGGCTAGAGTCAACTTTGTGACAGTCCTCCTATTTCTACTTCCTAAGTGCTGGGATTACAGGCATACACCACCATGCTGCCTATCAGCATTGATGTAATAGCAAAACTGGGATGACCGAGGGAGAGTAGCTTGCGCGGGGTCACACAACAAGCGACCTCCACCTGGACGCCTCGAAATGTCTGTTTTGTCTCTGCTGTTCTGTGTCTTTTGGGAAGAATTGGAAACTCCTGAAATGAGGGCTGATTTTTAACAGGTTCTGAGGATGGTCTTCTAGAAGAATCCCAATATGGAGACGTAGCAGAGGAAAGCCCTGTATCCCGAGACCAGGATACTGGGACACAAGGGAGAAAACCAACGACTACATCCCCGCCGGGGCTGGGTGTCACTGACTACCACCTTCGGAAGCTCTTGGCCCATCCACAGAGTGACTCATTGGCATCTTTTCCCAAGCAGAACTCCACACCTCCCTTTCCAACCAGGACAAATGACATCCCAGGCCAGCAACCAGGAAAAGGGAAGGGAAAAAGTGCCCCTGTGCCCAGCCAAGATTTGTCTCATTCTGACAAAGGGATCCTGAGGAACCTGCCTCTCAACCAGAGAGCCAGGCCCACTGGTGACAGTCCTGGAAAGACTCTGGAGCAGTCCCAGTGGCTGAATCAAGTGGAGTCCTACATTGCTGAGCAGAGACGGGGTGACAGCATAGAGCCCCAGGTCGCCAACAACGGCTGGCATGGAGGGGAGGAAGTGGTGGTAACAGCAAGCCAGGAAGGAGAAGTGGAGGAAGAGGAAGAGGAGGAAGAAGAGGACGAAGAAGATATGAGTGAGGTGTTGGAATTTGTACCTGTGTTTGACCCGGTGGTGAACTGGGGCCAGACCTTCAGTGCTCAGAACCTGGACTTCCAAGCCCTGAGGACAGACTGGATTGATCTGAGTTGTAACACATCAGGCAACCTTCTGCTTCCGGAGCAGGAGGCCCTGGAAATCATACGGGTCTTCCTGAAAAAGCTCAGCCAGAGGACCCGGGGGTAAGGTAAAGGGCTCCCTTGGAGCTGGGACAGGGGTAGATGGTAGCCACTGCCCTCAGGGACCCTGACCTGTGGGCTGAAAGCAGGGTTCCTGCTGCAGGATAGGGGACCTTGGCTGGTATTCTGGGGTGAGAGGTTGCATGGCTTCACCTTGATTGTAGCTGAGGACTAGCAAGGCTTGGTAGACTAGCATCTGCCCTCTGAGAAGGAGGTTAGGAAGAGAAGCAAGCCTCCCATGGAGGTTAGAGGGCGTGGCTAAAGCTCTGCTCTTCCTTAACCTTTCATCCTTTCCTTCTCCCTCATAGCCCCCCCTGCCTTTTTATGTTCATTTGTTTAATCAAGATATTTTCAGAGAAAATTCACACGCTATTAAACTCAGTATGGGTTGTGTACAAACATGCTGGGTTTAAAAATACCTTCGCAGTAGAGTTCAGCTATCGCTAGTATCTACTAATTCCAGGGCATTTCCATCGTCTTTGTGTTAGCTTGGGTTCCTGCACCCACACCAACTAGGCAAGTGCTGCCCTACTAAGCTATGTCCCTAGACCTTTCTTTTCTTTCTTTTTGAAATAGGTCTCAATGAGTTATTGAGGCTGGCCTAGAATTCATGGTGTAGCTCAGGTTTGGAACTTGAGATCCTCTTGCCTCAGCCTCCCGAGGAACTGGGATTCCAGACTGCACCTCAAGACCTGAGGCAGGGAATAGAGAGGAGAGGGAGAAGTCCTCCCTCCTAGTTATTATTAAACGATTCTTTCCCACCATGGTATCCCACCTATCCAAGTGCTTCCCGTACCTGACTGTCCTGCCTCTATCCGCCCCCCCCCCTTTCTGGTAACCTCTGTTCCATTCTGTGCTTCCGTGAGATAGCTTTATTGCTTCCACATATACATGAGGACACGTGACATTTGTCTTTCTGTGCCTAAATTATTTGCCCTACAATTCCATCCATATTGCTGTAAAAGAATTCTGCTGCTTATGGCTAAGTAATATTCCATCCTATATGTAAACCAATGTTGTTTACTCATCCAATTGTGGACAATTACTTTGGTTCAACATTTTGGCGATTGTAACTAGAGCTTCAGTGCACATGAGGCAGATAGATGCCTTTAACAGGCGGACTTCAGTTCCTTTGGGCGGCGGGACAGCTGGATCAGATGGTAACTCTGGTCGTAGGTTTTTAAGAACCCCCTCAGATTTTTTTCTTTAGTAGCTGTACTAACTTACACTCCCACCATTGTTTAGGAGAGTCACCATTCATCTGCATCCTCTCTGATGGCTCTTACTCTGTCATTTAGTTATCTTGACAGCTGTCAATCTTGCTGGGGTGAGATGGTATCATTTTGATCTTACCCTGATGATTAGCGATACTGAATATTTTTTCACATGCTTGTTAACCATTTTTTAGAAGACTTATTTTATTTTATATGTATGAGTATTTTGTCTGCATGCCTAGTACCCTAAGAGACCAGAAGAGGGTACTGGTGCCACCATGTGAGCCCTGGGAAGCAAACCCAGGTCCTCTGGAAGAACAAGTACTGTTACTACCAGACATTTTTTTTTTTTTGAGACAGGGTTTCTCTGTGGCTTTGGAGGCTGTCCTGGAACTCCCTTGGTAGTCCAGGCTGGTCTCGAACTCACAGAGATCCGCCTGCCTCTGCCTCCCGAGTGCTGGGATTAAAGGCGTTCGCCACCAACGCCCGGCACTACCAGACATCTTTCTAGCCCATCTACCCCCACTTTTAGATCTTGTTTTGTTTGGTTTGGTTTTGACATGGATACTCACTGTGTTGCCTAGGCTAGCCTTGGCTTGTTTTTGTTGTGTCCTTTTCCTAAGTGGTAGGATTACAGGCGTGTGCTACCATACTTGGCTTTTGGTTTTTGTCTGTGGCCTTGAGTGGTCTGGAACTCACTGTTTGGATGGGGCTAGCCTTGGACTCATAAGCAGAACTCTTGTTTCAGCCTCCCAAATTCTGGAATTATAAGCATATACCTGGATTTTAGTGTTTTTTATTTTGGTTTGGTTTTTTGAGTCCATGTAGGTCTGGAATATAGGTCTTGTCTCACTATATATTGTATACTTGGTTATCTTTTAAAAGGTATCATGCCAGGCAGTGATGGTGCACGCCTTTAATCCCAGCACTCGGGAGGCAGCGGCAGGCAGATCTCTGTGATTTTGAGGTCAGTCTGGTCTACAGAACTAGTTCCAGGACAGGCTCCAAAGCTATGCAGAGAAACCCTGTCTCGAAAAACAAAAACAAACAAACAAACAGAAGTATCTGTCTATCTGGTCCTGGATAGAGAAATGGCTCAGTGGGTAAGAGCATTTACCATGAAAACTTTAGGGCCTGAGTTCAGATTCCTGCATAAAAGCCTGGCATGGCATTGCATGCGTGTAATCCCAGGGTTGGTGGGTGCAAACAGGCAGGTCTGCTGAGATTTCTGTTCACCTGAATGTGTGCTTCCTCTTGTTTGATGTAGTTGTACTTGTTCATTTTGGCTTTTTGTTGCCTGTGCTTTGAGGCGCATTCAGGCAGTCTTTGCCCAGAGCAGTGTCCTGGGTGTTTCTTTAGCAGGGCCATCACTTCCGGTCCTAAATGGAAATGTTTGATCCCGACTGCCTTTGAGTTGATTTTCATTCTTCCACGCATGCAGTTTCCCCTTTCGTGACACCACCCCCTAGAAAAGGCATGTTCTGCTGCCTTTGTTGCCAGTCAGTTGGCTGGAAAAGCCTGATTTAGTCCCAGGTTCACTCGTCTGCCGTTGATTGACACCTGGGGGTTGTGGTTTTTGTTTGTTTGTTTGCTTGCTTGTTTTTTAGTGCCCCTATGTTGGGTGAGTGTTCTTAAAACTGTATCCTCTTGGATTTTTTTCTTTAATCAGTATGAAGTAACTTTTGTCTCTTCTAACTGTTTTGTTTTGAAGCTTATGTTCTTTTTTCTTCTCTTTCTTTCTTTCCTTCTTCTTCTTCTTCTTCTTCTTCTTCTTCTTCTTCTTCTTCTTCTTCTTCTTCTTCCTCCTCCTCCTCCTCCTCCTCCTCCTCCTCCTCTTCATCCTCCTCCTCCTTCTTTGTTTTTTGTTTTTTGAGACAGGGTTTCTCTGTGTAGCTCTGTAGACCAGGCTGGCCTGGAACTCACAGAGATCCGCCTGCCTCTGCCTCCTGAGTGCTGGAATTAAGGCGTGCGTCACCACCTGTGGAAGTTAATGTTTTTGACATTATAGTTCATTTGCTTGGAACACCTTTGCCATCTTTCACTTTGAGGTAGTGTCTTTATTTGATAGGGAGGTGCGCTTCTTGGAAGCAGCAAATAGGTGACTCCTGTTTCATTTTGTTTTTAAGATTTATTTTTATTTAAAAAGTTTTTTAACCCTTACTTTAATTTTATGTGTATGGGTCTTTTGCCTGCATGTGTGTATAGTATACCATATGTGTACAGTGTCTGCAGAGGCCAGAAGAGGGTGTTTGGTCTCCTGTGGCTGGTGTTACAGGAGTTTATGAGCTGCTGGAATCCAACACAGGTCCCCTGTAAGAGTAGCCAGTACTCTTTAACAGCTGAGTCATTTCTCCAGACCCAGGATTTATTTTATTTTAAGTTGTGTGTATATGGGGTGTATGTGAGAGGGGTGCACATGTGGGTATAGATACCTTAGTGTTTAGAAGTCTATCAGATCCCCTGAAGCTGGATAATTGTCAGCCACCTGTTTGTTGTGGGTGCTGGGTCCCCTAAAAGAACAGCAAGCACCCTTAACCACTGAGCTATCTTTCCAGTCCCTGGATTCTGTTTTGTGTGTGTGTGTGTTTGTTTTTGTTGTTATTTTTGTTTGGTTTGGTTTTGAGAAAGGGTTTCTCTGCATAGCCCTGGCTGTCCTGGAACTTGCTCTGTAGATGAGGCTGGCCTTGAACTCACAGAGTTCTGCCTGCTTCTGCCCCTAGAGTGCTGGAATTAAAGGCATTTGCCTCCACTGCCCAACTTGTTGGCTTTCCTCAATGTGGGTCAATTTCTCAAGGAATCTGTCACAAGACCCCTTATATTGAATCTTAGACTATAAAAGTCCTTAAAAATCACTTTACATTTGAGGATGGAGTGAGTCTTAGGGAGGTTGTATATGAGCCTCTTACAGCTGACCAATGGCAAAAGTAAAGACAAAACAAGGGTCTCCTGGCAACTGGCCCTGCAGGCTTCTGCCACACACTCTGCTCACTCTAGCCACTGTGTCCCTCAGGAGGTACCAGCTGCAGCGCATCCTGAACGTGGAGAAGCGCCAGGACCGGCTGCGTGGAGGGCGCTACCTCCTGGAGCTTGAACTCCTGGAAGGCCAGCGCCTGGTGAGGCTCTCAGAGTATGTGTCCACCCGAGGTTGGCAGGGAAGTGACATTGCTGCTGGTGAGGACACAGAAACCCGGAACCTGCAGGGCCTGGTCTGGAGCCTCCAGAGTCACAGACATGTACTGAATTCCCAGGATCCAGAGCCAAAGCTATGCTGGCCCCAAAATTTCTCCTGGAACCATCGAGCTGTGGTCCACTTTATTGCGCCCGGTAAGCTTCAGCAGAATGGGGGTGGTGATCACTGTGAGCACTGGGTCTGTTTTATTTCTGAGTGAAGCCACCTTGCCATTGAGGGACTGGGATTTACAAAAGAAAACGGATTGAGCTGTTGTGTGGTTAGTGAACAACGTTGCTGAGATCTCATGCTAGGTCTCAGGGTTGGGTGTGAGCATCAACTTGGGTTGTTGTTGGAGAAATAAGAATGAGGGTATCATATGAAGGGGGTTTTAGTTAGATTATTTTTTTGTGGTGCTGAAGATCAAATCCAGGATCTGGCACTTGCTAAGCAGGGCGTGGAGCCACACTTCCAGCCCTAGAGTGGCCTTTCCAACGAGAAAGGAAAACACAAGATTGTGTATGAGACGAAAGGTGTGAGTAAGATGGATAGAAAGCAAAGGTCTGTTAAAGCTGGGCAGGGTGGCTGCTGCGAGTCCCACCCAAAACGGTCTTGCCTGGGAGGTGTTCAGGCAGCTCTAGAAGGCAATGGGCTGGTGAGCCCCACCCCTCCCTAGGGTCCCTGTGGTTCATGCTAATGATTCCTGTGGTTGCATTATTCCCTGGTAGAGTTGATGGTCCGGACTCCTGACTGGGGTCAGAGCTGAGGGATGTTAGCCTTTCCTTAACTCTGCTGTTTTCTCCCTGACCTATCTGGATAGTGAAAAACCAGGCTCGCTGGGTGCAGCAGTTCATCAGAGATATGGAGAGCCTGTCCCAAGTCACCGGCGACCCGCATTTCAACATCATTATCACAGACTATAGCAGTGAGGACATGGATGTTGAGATGGCTCTGAGGAGGTCCAAGCTGAAGAGGTGAGGAGGACCTCTGGCTGCAGCTAGCTTGCCACCTTGCCAACATCTGCTGGTCAGGGTGGAACAACAAGTGGCAGCCACCTTTCCTGAGTCCCAGTGTCCAGCCCTGCATCCCTGCCCACAACCCCGGAGTGCCCACTGTCTCTATTTTATGCTCCCAACTTCCTTCAGGGACCCTACAGCTGAATCCTCACGCTCGGCTCCTCCTTCTCTTCCTGCAGCTACCAGTACCTGAAGCTGAGTGGAAACTTTGAGCGTTCCTCAGGACTACAGGCTGGCATAGACCTGGTGAAGGTAACGGCCTCAAGGGGGATTGGGAAGGTGATCGAGAGTAGTTAAGAGACTGAGAGCATTTGGAAGCTATAAGGAAGTCAGCTCCTTAGTACCTGAGCATCCTTTTGCTTCCTATTGTGGTGGTAAACGCCATGACCAAAAGCAGCTTGGGGAAGAAAGGGTTGAATTGTTTCGTGCATCTGGATCACAGTGGGTCACTGAGGGAGGTCAGTCAGGACCCCTGAAGGAAAGGTGTTTACTGACTTGCTCCTCATAGCTTACTCAGCTCTCTTTCTTTTCATTTTCATTTTCTAAATTAAAAGCCATTACAGGGAGGCTGGAGAGAAGGCTCAGCAGTTAACAGCACTGGCTCCTCTTCCAGAGGTCCTGAGTTTGTTTCCAGAAACCACATGGTGGCTCACCATGCGTAACGAGGTCTGGTGCCCTCTTCTGGTGTGCAGGCATACATGCAGACCGAACACTTTTTTTTTTTTTTTTTTTTTGGTTTTTCGAGACAGGGTTTCTCTGTATTGTTTTGGAGGCTGTCCTGGAACTCACTCTGTAGACCAGGCTGGCCTCGAACTCAGAGATCCGCCTGCCTCTGCCTCCCGAGTGCTGGGATTAAAGGCGTGTGCCACCAACACCCGGCTCAGAACACTTCTTTAAAAATCTTAAAAAACAAAACACAAAAAACCATTACAGATGGTTGGGAGCTGCATATGGGTGCTGGGAATCAAACCCAGGTCCTTTGGAAGGACATCCAATGCTCTTAACCTCTGAGAGACTTTTCTCGCCCTCCATCTTGCTTTCTCATACAGGGGTGGCACCATCCACAATGGTCTGGACCTTCCCACATCAGTCATGATTCAAAATGCCCCACAGACTTGTCCAAAGGTCAGTCTGATGGAGGCATTTCTTAATTGAGGTTTTTCTTCCCAGATGACCCTAGCTTGTGTCAAGTTGACAAAAAAACAAAACCAAAAACAAACAAAAAAACCAAAACAATCAGCTCCCTGAATTAAATTAAGGTTTGGGGGCTGGAGAGATGGCTCAGAGGTTAAGAGCACTGACTGCTCTTCCAGAGGTCCTGAGTTCAATTCCCAGCAACCACATGGTGGCTCACAACCATCTACAATTCAGTCTGGTGCCCTCTTCTGGCAGAACACTGTATATGTAATAAATAAATCTTAAAAAAAATAAAAATAAATAAAGTAAGGTTTGTTAATTATTTGTGATGTTGGGAATTGCACTCAAGGCCTTGTGCGTGCCAGGCAAACCCTCTTCCACCCAGCTAGCTCCACACCCAGCTCTGAGGAAAGGTTCATTTGGTTTCAGTCCATGGTCTCTTTGCCCCATTGCTTTTGGGCCTGTGGTGAGGAAATGAATCATGGTGCGGAACGCAAAGGACGCTGCTTGCTTCATGGCAGCCAAGGAGTGAAAGAGAGGGGCTAGGCTCCCAGTGTCCTCCACTCCTAGTGACTTAAGCTAGGCTCCCAGTGTCCTCACACTCCTAGTGACTTAACTTCTTATCGCTAGGCCCCACCCCCCTAAGGCCCACCCGCCACTTCCCAGTAGCACCACAGGCTGGACCGAATCCTTTATCACGTGGCCTTTGGGGGATACTTTGAAACCTTAGCAAGGAACATACGTGGCACTGCAGTGCGGTCCCAGTGCTATGAGGGGACTACATGAGTAGCAGGGAAGTGTTTGCCCAAGAGTCAGAGTCCTCAGACTGCAGAAAACATGGGGGCAGAAGTCAGGTATCATGGTACATGCCTATATTGCCAGCTCTGAGGAGGCTGGGGGGTGGGGTGGGGCATGAGTTGAGGTCAACCTGGACCATGCAACAAATCCCAGACTAGTCTTCTGAGACCCTGTCTCAAGAGAAAGTAGAAGGAGGATTCTGAACTCACGGTGTGATGCGAAGGCTCAGCCTTTCTACCCCGGGTTGCAGAAATTTGCTTAGGGTTTAGCTTGTGTTAAGTTGTCAGTTACTCCAGTAGGGAAGAGCCTGAGATTGTCTATAGAGCAGTAATTCTCAACCTGAGGGTCGTGACCCCTTGGCAAGCCTCTGTCTCCAAAAATACTTGAATTACAATTCATAACAGCAGCCAAATTACAGTTATGAAGTAGCAACAAGTAATTTTATGGTTGTGAGTTATCACTACATGAGGAACTGTGTTAAAGGGTCGCAGTATTAGGAAGGTGAGAAGCACGGCTCTCGAGAGTAGCCTCGTCTCCCCGATCTGCCCAGAGATCCCCTGACCTTGCCTTCTCCATCCCCAGGACCCACACAGCATCGTCTTCCTCTGTGACCTGCACATCCACTTCCCGGCGGCAATCATTGACACTATCCGCAAGCACTGCGTGGAGGGCAAGATGGCCTTTGCCCCCATTGTGATGCGGCTGCATTGTGGGGCCACCCCACAGTGGCCCGAGGGTGAGCCTTGCCCTGGATGAGGGAGGGGAGGCACCCTCTGATCTTGGTGTTTAACCCCAAGGCTGGACCGGCAGATGCCTAAGCATCAGCATCTTCCCCATCCTGCCTTCCCGTGTTCTCTGAACTTTACTGACAGCCGCAGTAGCAGGCAAAGCAGTGGTACTTTCCTCTCCTCTCCAGCATGTGTTCATCCGACACTCATGAAGAATTTGCTATGTGCTGGATGCTGTGCCCAGGAAGGCAGGAAGGTGGAGAGAGGAAGCAGATGAGGAAACCAACTCACAGCTGCCAGAGGGCTGCTGGGGCCACATCCTAATTGCTGGGCTATACTTAGGTTGTGACATCAGTCCATGGTCACTGCTGTGCTTGCTGAAACACAAGCTTTGGTAGGGGGCCTCCCCGAGACAGTCCAGGGACTTCCTTAGCTGACAGTCTTCGGCCTCTGCCGCCCATCTCTCTACCGTCAGAAGAGCCTGTTCGAACACAGCATCCGGCTCATCTCAGCTGAGTGTCTTGTCTGTCCACAGGCTATTGGGAGGTCAATGGATTTGGACTGCTTGGCATCTACAAGTCCGACCTGGACAAGATTGGGGGCATGAACACCAAGGAGTTCCGAGACCGCTGGGGAGGGGAAGACTGGGAGCTGCTGGACAGGTGACATGGGAACAGGGCCTTTAGGGATCTGCTGGAGTTCCAGTGCCAGGGCAGCGAGGCCAGAGCCTCAGACCTGTGCCGCCGGTTCCCTGGGCACGGGAAAGTGTACTGGGCTGGGAGCTCCCAGAGGCTGGCTTCACTGACGTGCTGCTGTGTTTCCAGCAGATGGGAATGACACTTCCGCTGTGTGTCACAGTCTGATTGGTCAGTTGGGTTGTCACAGGTAAAGCAAGAGACTGGAGCTAAATAATGAAAATGATAATGTTCTCAGGACTAGGCGAGATTCCCAGGAGCTTTCTCTCCAGCCAGGGATCATGTTCTTTCCGGACACGGCTGCCTGGAGGAGGGCCAGAAAACTGTGAGAGGATACTGGAAGACAGGCCAAGGGTTAGGAGAGCGTTGGGAGCCAGCAAAATAGGCAGTATGGAGAATTAAATAGCAACAGGGTATCCAGGGGGTCTGGATTCCTGGAGGTGAGAAGGGAATGAGCCCTGAAAGGAGTAAATAGTCTCAGAGGAGGAGAGGTCTGGGCAGAAAGAACACTTGCCTAGCATGAATGGGGCCTTAGGCTCAATCCCCAGTACTAAAGAAAGAGGAAAAAATATTTGTTTATATAAACAAATATACATTATACGTACATATTATATATAAATATGCTACATATCATATTGATATAAATATATTTTATGGTTATATGTTATAATATATATATCACTTTTGTCATCACTGTGACAAAGGACATAACTGAAGCAGCTTAGGGGAAGAAGAGGTGTTGGGTTCATGGCAGGACAGCACGGTAGCATTTATAGTGATGGGAACTCCTGATATCTTGGGCAGACTAGGAAGCAGGGAGAAAGAAATTTAGCCTGGAACTAAGACAGATGAAAACACATAACCCAGTGTATATCATGTGTTTGCATATACTCATACATGTGCATTCTTAGCCTGGTGTGGTGGCATATGCCCTTAATCCCAGCACTGGGGAGGCTGGAGGCAGGAAGACTGCCATAAATTGGAGGCCAGCCTGGGCTACACAGCAAGACCCAGTCTCAGTCCCCCATGCCTCAAAAAGACAAGGGAAAAGGAGAGAAACATGGACACATGGGAGCAGTGGGCTCGGCAGGTGGCCAGGAGAATGTCTAGGAAAAAGCGGGGCTGGGTGGACACCTGTGGCTGCTGGCCTGCAAGAGTGGAGGAAACCGCTGCAGTGAGAGCATCCCTCCCTGCGTTCGCGTGCGAGTCCTCTCTCAGGAAGTCCACAGGAGGGTGAAGGGAGAGGCAAGGGGCACCAGGGGCATGCTACTTCCTGAGAGGCAGGGCAAGGTGCAGCCACCAACCTCTGAGTTATTATAGTTGGCAGGTGAGGTTCGTGCCCAAGGCCTTATTCATCCTTCTCACCAAACTCCTGGGCAGTTGTCTCCATTTCTCAGAGGGGAAACCACTCATGAAAAGCAGTTAATTACTTGTCCCTTCTGTCTCCGTGAAGCATCAGAGGCCTAAAAATCAGGCCCGTCTTTGATTTCTCACTGGAGGGAAGCAGAAAGGAGAATACTGAAATACTGAGAATTAAAGGTGGGGTGAGGAGCGGTTCAGAGAGCTGTGTCAAGTAACTCAGTCATAGGAAGCCACATCACAGTAGACCCTGAAGCGGATGGAAGCCCAGTGTCGTCGTTGCTGTCACATGTGGCCTCTGTGCTGGGCTTTGTGCTTTGATGTAGACCTCCAAAATAGTTCTGAACCCTCCCGCTGCCTTTGAGACCTGAGGACAGGGCTGCTTCTGGTTCTGTCTACTTGCAGTCCTGTTTGAAGCATAGGCCTCCTTGGAAAGGGACCCTCCCCTGGTGTCTGTGCAAAGGAGAACATTGCCTAGCTTCTGTGAGACCTTGGGTTTGATCCCCAGCACTGCAAGGGGAAAAAAAAAAGCCAGGATGTTCAACACACACCTTAATCCCAGTCTTTAGGAGGCTGAGGCAGAAGAATCTTGAGTTAGAGGCCAGCCCGGGCTATATAACAAGATGATTCCCCCAACTACACAACACACACACACACACACACACACACACACACACACACACACACACACACACCACAGATAGGAATGGGGAAAGTCTGTGGGTGGTTTCTCCAGTTCCAGTCTCCTGATACTGTACAGCAACTGGTGTGTGCTGGGAACTGTGCTTCGTGCTGCAGATCCATCATAGTGTGTGTGTGTGTGTGTGTGTGTGTGTGTGTGTGTGTGTGTGTGTGTGATCATTAGTAACTGGCATTGGTATGTGCTGGGAACTGTGCTGAGTGCTACAAATCCATTGTGTGTGTGTGTGTAATTAGAGAGGATGGATATATATATATGCATTTATAAGATTATTGTACTCTTCTAGATAGAGTGGGGAATGTGTCTTTGATAGGCAACTTTCTGAGCCACACAGCTGGGACTACAACCCAGGCAGGTTGCCTGTAGCCTTCCTACTTCTGCTGCCTCACGCTGTCCTCTCTCCTCCAGGATCCTGCAAGCAGGCCTGGAAGTGGATCGACTTTCCCTCAGGAACTTCTTCCACTACTTTCATTCCAAGCGGGGCATGTGGAATCACCGTCAGATGAAGATGCCATGACGCCCAGGGACAGCTGCTCACAGTCCTTGACTCGCAGTTGGCCTCGGGGAGGGAATATGAGGAGCAGAAGCCTCAGCACTAATTGCCCTCTCCACCAGGAGCTGTCCCTTCATGCAGGGACAAGTGCCATGGTTCCTCTGCCACTCACCGGGTTGACAGATGGAATGGCTTCACAGGATGGGTGGTGAGGTCAAGAAGAAAACACCTGATTTAACAGAATACCATCGTGTCCACAACGGTGCTCCTCACGGGGAGTGTTGATCGTGAACCAGAAACTTCAATGGAACAGATTTTATTGGGGGTGGAGGTATTGGGGGTGATAATTTTTAGCAGATAATGAAGACTTATGTCTAGACCCAGCACTGACTGGGAGTGAAGCTGTGCATTGCAGACCTCAGACCCACTGAGGTGCCGGCCCTATGTGAAGTACCTCAGCTCCAGGCCCAGTCTGTGCCTTCCAAACACATCCTTCCTGGTAGCCACTGAAGGGCTGGCCACCAACTGGGTATGAACCCAACTCCTACAGATAGAGGTTTCTTTAGTGGAACCCAACATTGGTGGCATCCTCCTTCTGCAACAGGGTGTGGGATGGGAGCACATGGGCAGTGGGCCCATTTTCCCGAGTGTCCATCTGGGCTGTGGAACCAGCAAGGCCATGCCCCTTTGACTCACCTGCCAGTTAAGACCTGGAGTAATGGGGAGGTGCCACCAAAGGTGACATGACAGCCCATTAACTGCTTAAGTGAGAATGTGGGAGGGACTCAAGCCGGCAGGGACAGAAAGGGAAGAAAATGTGTACTGTAAGTTAGCACTCCTGTGGCCTTGCCTTCCTGCTGAGGGAGCGCCAGCCTCCAGGCCCTGAGGAGAAGAGGTGAAACCTGCTAAGGGGCAGAGTGAGGTATGGGGAGGCAAGGCCATGGGCAGGAAGAACTGAAAAATGGTTAGTTTCAGGGACAACCGCCCCTAACCTTTTCTGTCTTTGGCTACCCCTTCCGTCCCCTGATGTCACATACTTATCTTGCACTAACAGTCCCCATGCTCCGTGGCTGGGACTTTGTATTGCTGCTGCTGCTGCTTCACCAGTGGTGCACTGGACGCTGGGAATTAAACCCAGTCTGTGAAGAGGGTCAGCGCAGCGTGTTGCTGCTGCGAGAAAGGGCTCCACTGGGCAGAGCCTGCCCTCCATGCTGTGAATCAAAAGTGCAGCATTTGGAGCTGCAGGACCCACGCGGCGGACTCTGTGAGTGCCAAGAAGGTTTGGCACGTGCGAAGTGGAGCAAACCCACTGGGCCTTGCCTTTAAGCAGTCAGGAGGGCAGGGTGGTTCTGTTAATGGGTTGCGGCTTTTTCTCATCCCTGCCCAGGCCTTCTGCTCTTTAGAAAAGGCACATAGGAAGTAGGCTAGGGCTGCAGTTGGGCAGCCAGAGTGCCAGGCTTCTCTCTAAGGCCTTAGGTTCTTGGAATTGTGCTGGGAGGCCAGAGCCAGTCCCGAAAGCCCTCCTGCTGTTTCTGAGGACCGGGAGCCCTCTGGGCCTTCCCCAGCCTGCTCAGCACCTCCTGCCCAGGTCTAGTGCCTTGTGTTTGATACCTGTTACCTCCTTACCATCTGCCTTAAGGGAAAGGAAAATGCTGTGGGTGGAGAGAGGGAAGGCGGCATTGAAGTCAGCATCTTAGGGCTGCTCTCCTGTTTCTCAAGAGTCCCTCAGCTGTTTGCTCCATGACAGGCTAAGGACTACCCCTTCCCTGCTTTCTGCCTTGGTGCTTGCTGACAGAAAGGACAAAACTGTGTTGCAGTGTTCTTGGGAAGACCACCACACCGTCCTGACCGTGTCTCACAGTCTCAGCAGCTCCGCCTTGTGGAGGTCACGGCCTCAGCTGGAGGACAATCCCCCAACCCCACCTGAAGAGGGCCAGCTGGAGCAGTGCAGCTGTAATCCAGCACTTGGGAAGCTGAGGCATGAAGATGAGGCCAGCCCAGGCTACCTAACAAGACCCTGTCAAAATGAATGAACGAATGAATTAAATAAACGAATGAGTTAAATAAATGAATGAATTAAATAAATGAATGAATTGAAAATAAAGGAAAGCTCTTTTCTGAGTGAATTGAAGGTATCCTACTAATGCTCTATAGGCCTGAGTTGGCTTTCCTAGTTATATTTGACCTGCTCGATTTTTCTACTTTAAGTTTTCGCAATTTTTTAAAATTTATATTTATTTTATATTCATTGGCATTTTGGCTGAATGTATTTCTGTGTGAGGGTGTCAGACTCCCTGGAACTAGAGTTACAGACAGGTGTGAGCTGCCGTGAGGGTGCTGGAAATTGAACCATGGTTGTCTGGAAAAGCAACCAATGGTCTTAACCACTGAGCCATCTCTCTAGCCCCTATTTTTCAAGATTTTGTTTTATGTGTATGAGTGTTTTGTCTGTGCACCATCTGAGTGACTGTTGTCGGTGGAGGCCAGAAGCCAGCATCGCCTTCCCTGGAACTGGAATTACAGATGGTTGTGAGCCACCATGTGGATCCTTGGAATAGAACTCAGGACCTCAGGAAAAGCAACCAGTGTGGTGATATTTTGTTGATGATCTACACATAAAGCTTGCCTGAAGGTCAGAGAAGCAAAGCAGCCACCAGAGAGCTCTCACCTCTATCAGTGCCCAAACTGAAGGGGCCGTCCTGACCTCACACCGCTCCTGACCTCACACTGCTCCTGACCGCACACCGCTCCTGACCTCACACTGCTCCTGACCTCACACTGCTCCTGACCGCACACCGCTCCTGACCTCACACTGCTCCTGACCGCACACTGCTCCTGACCTCACACTGCTCCTGACCTCACACTGCACACTGACCTCACACTGCTCCTGACCTCGCACCGCTCCTGACATCGCACCGCTCCTGACCTCACACTGCTCCTGACTGCACTGCTCCTGACCTCACACTGCACACTGACCTCACACTGCTCCTGACTGCACTGCTTCTCACCTCACACTGTTCCTGACCTTACACTGCTCCTGACTGCACTGCACACTGACCTCACACTGCTCCTGACCTCACACTGCTCCTGACCGCAAACTGCTCCTGACCTCACACTGCTCCTGACTGCACTGCTCCTGACCTCACACTGCTCCTGACCTCACACTGCTCCTGACCGCACACTGCTCCTGACCTCACACTGCTCCTGACATCACACTGCTCCTGACCGCACAATGACCTCACACTGCTCCTGACCTCACACTGCACACTGACCTCACACTGCTCCTGACCTCACACTGCTCCTGACCGTACACTGCTCCTGACCGCACACTGCTCCTGACCTCACACTGCTCCTGACCTCACACTGCTCCTGACCTCACACTGCACACTGACCTCACACTGCTCCTGACCTCACACTGCTCCTGACCTCGCACCGCTCCTGACATCGCACTGCTCCTGACCTCACACTGCTCCTGACTGCACTGCTCCTGACCTCACACTGCACACTGACCTCACACTGCTCCTGACTGCACTGCTTCTCACCTCACACTGTTCCTGACATTACACTGCTCCTGACTGCACTGCACACTGACCTCACACTGCTCCTGACCGCACACTGCTCCTGACCTCACACTGCTCCTGACCGCACACTGCTCCTGACCTCACACTGCACACTGACCTCACACTGCTCCTGACCTCACACTGCTCCTGACCTCACACTGCTCCTGACTGCACTGCTCCTGACCTCACACTGCACACTGACCTCACACTGCTCCTGACTGCACTGCTTCTGACCTCACACTGTTCCTGACATTACACTGCTCCTGACTGCACTGCACACTGACCTCACACTGCTCCTGACCGCACACTCCTGACCTCACACTGCTCCTGACCTCACACTGCACACTGACCTCACACTGCTCCTGACTGCACTGCTTCTGACCTCACACTGTTCCTGACATTACACTGCTCCTGACTGCACTGCACACTGACCTCACACTGCTCCTGACCGCACACTCCTGACCTCACACTGCTCCTGACCTCACACTGCTCCTGACCTCACACTGCTCCTGACCTCATACTGCTCCTGACCTCACACTGCTCCTGACTGCACTGCTCCTGACCGCACACTGCTCCTGACTGCACTGCTCCTGACTGCACACTGCTCCTGACCTCACACTGCTCCTGACTGCACACTGCTCCTGACCTCACACTGCTCCTGACCTCACACTGCTCCGGACCTCACACTGCTCCTGACCTCACACTGCTCCTGACTGCACTGCTCCTGACCACACACTGCTCCTGACTGCACTGCTCCTGACCTCACACTGCTCCTGACTGCACTGCTTCTCACCTCACACTGTTCCTGACATTACACTGCTCCTGACTGCACTGCACACTGACCTCACACTGCTCCTGACCTCACACTGCTCCTGACCTCACACTGCTCCTGACTGCACTGCTCCTGACCTCACACTGCACACTGACCTCACACTGCTCCTGACTGCACTGCTTCTGACCTCACACTGTTCCTGACATTACACTGCTCCTGACTGCACTGCACACTGACCTCACACTGCTCCTGACCGCACACTCCTGACCTCACACTGCTCCTGACCTCACACTGCTCCTGACCTCACACTGCTCCTGACCTCATACTGCTCCTGACCTCACACTGCTCCTGACTGCACTGCTCCTGACCGCACACTGCTCCTGACTGCACTGCTCCTGACTGCACACTGCTCCTGACCTCACACTGCTCCTGACTGCACACTGCTCCTGACCTCACACTGCTCCTGACCTCACACTGCTCCGGACCTCACACTGCTCCTGACCTCACACTGCTCCTGACTGCACTGCTCCTGACCACACACTGCTCCTGACTGCACTGCTCCTGACCTCACACTGCTCCTGACTGCACTGCACACTGACCTCACACTGCTCCTGACCTCACACTGCTCCTGACCTCACACTGCTCCTGACTGCACTGCTCCTGACCTCACACTGCTCCTGACCTCACACTGCTCCTGACCTCACACTGCTACTGACTGCACTGCTCCTGACCGCACACTGCTCCTGACCGCACACTGCTCCTGACCTCACACTGCTCCTGACCTCACACCGCTCCTGACCTCACACTGCTCCTGACCTCACACCGCTCCTGACCTCACACTGCTCCTGACCTCACACTGCTCCTGACCTCACACTGCTCCTGACCTCACACTGCTCCTGACCTCACACTGCTCCTGACCTCACACTGCTCCTGACCTCACACTGCTCCTGACCTCACACTGCTCCTGACTGCACTGCTCCTGACCTCACACTGCTCCTGACCTCACACTGCTCCTGACCTCACACTGCTACTGACTGCACTGCTCCTGACCGCACACTGCTCCTGACCTCACACTGCTCCTGACCTCACACCGCTCCTGACCTCACACTGCTCCTGACCTCACACCGCTCCTGAACTCACACTGCTCCTGACCTCACACTGCTCCTGACCTCACACTGCTCCTGACCTCACACTGCTCCTGACCGCACACTGCTCCTGTCCTCACACTGCTCCTGACCTCACACTGCTCCTGACCTCACACTGCTCCTGACCTCACACTGCTCCTGACTGCACTGCTCCTGATCGCACATTGCTCCTGACTTCACTGCTCCTGACCTCACACTGCTCCTGACCTCACACTGCTCCTGACTGCACACTGCTCCTGACCTCACACTGCTCCGGACCTCACACTGCTCCTGACCTCACACTGCTCCTGACCTCACACTGCTCCGGACCTCACACTGCTCCTGACCTCACACTGCTCCTGACTGCACTGCTCCTGACCACACACTGCTCCTGACTGCACTGCTCCTGACCTCACACTGCTCCTGACCTCACACTGCTCCTGACTGCACACTGCTCCTGACCTCACACTGCTCCTGACCTCACACTGCTCCTGACCTCACACTGCTCCTGACTGCACTGCTCCTGACCTCACACTGCTCCTGACTGCACACTGCTCCTGACCTCACACTGCTCCTGACCTCACACTGCTCCTGACTGCACTGCTCCTGACCTCACACTGCTCCTAACTTCACACTGCTCCTGACCTCACACTGCTCCTGACCTCACACTGCTCCTGACCTCACACTGCTCCTGACCTCACACTGCTCCTGACCTCACACTGCCCCTGACCTCACACTGCTCCTGAACTCACACTGCTCCTGACTGCACTGCACACTGACCTCACACTGCTCCTGACCTCACACTGCTCCTGACTGCACACTGCTCCTGACCTCACACTGCTCCTGACCTCACACTTCTCCTGACTGCACACTGCTCCTGACCTCACACTGCTCCTGACTGCACACTGCTCCTGACCTCACACTGCTCCTGACCTCACACTGCTCCTGACTGCACTGCTCCTGACCTCACACTGCTCCTGACCTCACACTGCTCCTGACCTCACACTGCTCCTGACCTCACACTGCTCCTGACCTCACACTTCTCCTGACCTCACACTGCTCCTGACTGCAGACTGCTCCTGACTGCACATTGCTCACCAAACATCAGGCTACAATGAGCTTCAGTCTCCTCCCACCTTATATTCCTCTCTCTGCTAGGCCATATCACTCCCATCTCCACCTCCCGAGTGCTGGGATTAAAGGTGTGAGCTCTGTTTCTCTTGTAGACTCTCATGTAGCCCAGGGTGGCCTTGAACTCACAGAGATCCATCTGCCTCTGTCTCCTGAGTGCTGGGATTAAAGTTGTGTGCCACGACTGCCTGTCGTCTATAGCTATGGCTGTCTTTGCATTCTGATCCTCAGGCAAGCTTTATTTGTTAGATCATAAACAAAATATCATCACATTTCCCTTTTTTTGGTCTAAAATTAAAAAAAGATTATAACTTGAACTCTTTAGTGGCTGGCCACTTTGCTTCTCTGATCTTCAGGCAAGCTTGTTGTATCATAAACATAATATATCACCACAAGCCAGTGCTCTTAACCACTAAGCCATCTCTAGTACCCCATTAAAAAAAAGAGCTTTTAGCCAATTGATGGTGCCTTTGATCCCAGCAGTCCAGAGGCAAAGGCAGGTGGATCTCTATGAGTTCAAGTCCGGCCTGATCTACATGGTGAGAAATTGTCTCAAAAAAAAATGAAAATTAAACTTTCTCATTTAGAGTGTGTGTGGTATATGCATGCCACAGGTGCTGGTCAGAGGACAGCTTTCAGTGATGGTTCTCTCCCATACCATATGGGGTCCTCAGGCTTGGCAGCAAGTGCCTTTACTCACTGAAAATGTATATCCTTCAAACGCATCTAAGAGACACCACTAGTGTGAAAAGTACAAAAGGTTTATAGTGTTTAGATACTATAGATAGCTTTAGATAGCTTATGTGTATATCCGTCAGTCTAGAACTCGCTGACCTGTTTTTGATGTGCAGGTGACAAGAAACCCTTTCCAGGACACAGATGACAAAGGCATCCACCTACCAGCCTGCTTCAGAGCCCATATGACTGAAGACAGCAACTTGGTGAATTTTCAGATAGTTTTATAGATAGATTCCCATTTTGCAGGAAGGCATAGTTGAGGCTTGGAGCAGAGGGAAGGAATGCAGTAGAACCAGAGTCTGCAGGCCATGTAGACTGCCTTACTTAGTTAGCAGAGTCAGTTACTGTTGCTGGAGGGAAGGGTGGCTGTTGCAGAGGCTAAGCTCAGGCCTCCAGACCCAGATGCGATGACATCACCCAGTAAAACTTAACTCAGGTGCTGCAGGCAGGAAGCGGGGGCATTTTTGTTGCCCTTGAAGCTCTCCTGGAGGCCGTGGAACGTGCTAGTTAGCCTGACGGGTCAGGGACAAAGGCTGAAGCAGTTCCAGACCCAGTTCCTGTGAAGAAAGTAGACAGACAGAAGACATCAAGGGGTGGGGCCGAAGGAGGCTCCTCAGACCGATTTGCACCCGGTCCACCAGAATGGTGTGTGACTCAGCAACCTGGAGTGGGGCCTGAAGTGCAGTTCCCAGCCAGCTCCTAGGGGGCGCTGTGGATGCTGCCGCTGGCCCACACTGCCCAGTGGCAGTGGCAAGCACGGCTTGGCTCCCACACCTCATGACAACACCAGGCAGAAGCCACAGCTCTGTCTGTCTCTTGCCAGCAGGCCACGGCATCCAGTAACCACATCGGCCTCCACCCCACCCCAAGCAGGGGCGGCAAAAGTCTGCCTGGGTTAAAAGAGATAGTCCCTGAAAACAAACAGCAGAAGAACTGGAGGCCCGTCACTTCTTCAGACCAAAGGCCTCCAGGCAGGCCTCACTACGTCCCCCGCATGGTCACTCATGGCGCATGTGCTGTGGGAGGCCCATGCTTCAAAGTAGCACTCAGGGTGAATGAACTATTGGAGGCTGACGTCTACTTACCAGGCCTCAGGGTGCATGTACTCTGGTGGCGTGTGTGTGTGTGTGTGCGTGTGCGTGTGCGTGCGTGCGTGTGTGTGTGTGTGCGTGTGCGTGCGTGCGTGTGTGTGTGTGTGTGCGTGTGCGTGCGTGCGTGTGTGTGTGTGCGTGCGTGCGTGTGCGTGCGTGCGTGTGCGTGTGTGTGTGTGTGTATGCGGGGGGGGGTATGCTTATAAACAAGCACTCATTGTGAAAGTTCTCTTGGAGGCTAACATTTGTGTACTTGTGGTACCAACACTTACTGCGCATGTACTATACCGCAGCGTTCACGGAGCATGTACAATGGGAGATTTATACATAGGCCTTATTAAACGTTTTCCTTTATGTTGCATGTACTGTGCAAGGCCCATCAGCCCTTCAAGAACTCCCTTGTCCACAGGCCTATAGAGCTTCCCCTTGGTGTGGGGAGGGAGAGCCCTCTTACTCCAAACACCAAAGGCAGAGGCCACTCGTGAGCCCTTGGACCTGAGGTCCTCCAGGCCTCCACCTCACCTGGGACCTAGGTAGGGACAAACAGGATTGCTGGAGGTCCTGGCAGCCATTCACCCTGTCTTGTGTGCCCCAAAAGCAGTGATAAAAATGTTGATGACCACAGTAATGAAGACCAAGGTGGTGGCAGCATTGTTGAGCTGGTTTAGACGCCGCTGGTTTTCTAGTTCATTCAGGTTCAGCCTGGCTGTGGAGACAAGGAGACCAGGGTGGGCAGACAAGGGTCAAGCTAGCGGGACTGGAGCCTGGAAGCTTCCCTCTCCCCACCCATGAATTTGGAGACCTACCAGAAGAGATCATGACTGGACTTAAATGTGTTTGGGTCTCCGGACCAGCATGTTAGGCATTCACAAGGTGCTTCATAGAAAGGGAACTGGGAACAAAACCATCTAGGAGGGGAGGTATGCTTACAATATAAAAGACTGTCACCAGCTAGTGGGGTCAGTCGAGGAGTGCCCTGCCGTGGGATATAAGGAGAAAGGACAGGACTCTTTTTAGTGGCTGGTAAATTTCACGTGGGCTGCAGAGGCCTTTCCTACCACCAGGGGGCACCAGGGCAGACTGCAGGCTGTGCTCCTTACCAGTGACCACAAGAAGAATGCCAATGACTATTTGCAGGAGCAGAGAGAGACTGATGAGGGCGATGAGGGTGGTGTAGTACTGTGAGGACTGGCCCTGCTCCAGCACCACTTTCAGCCTCGTGGCGTTGGACATAAAGAGTGCCACATCCAGCATGCTCTCTGCCACACTCTTCTTGGTGGCATAATGGTTCATGTTGAGAAGCTGGTTCCCCCGGGGATTGAAGTGGCTGTGCTGTAAGAGAGGAGACTCTGGTAAAGGGACTGAAAGGGAAAGAAGACAGGGGTTTTAATACCCCTCCCAAAGGAGATGAATGTCCTCTTGGGTGACAGTGAGGGCCTCCCTGCTCAGCTGATGACCTGAAACCAATGAAGGGTTGGAAGGATGAGCAGTTGGGTGAATGGATTGGTGGATGGAACCTCTTTGGATCACTCATCTCCAAATTAACTAAAGCTGCATCGTGATATCTGCTTCACAGAGAGTCCCTGGTCGCTCACATCTTCACATAGTCAGAGGAGGAAAGACAACAGAAGGGGCTTTGAGGCCTGGGTGAAATGGAAGTGACACTTCTTACGGAATGGCTGGCCCTACCCTAGCCAGTGCCTAGATCAAGATTCCTAGAGCTTCACTCCCACTCCAGCGTGCACTGATTGTCAAACATGGGCTGTTAGAAAACTTAAGCACGCCGGGAGTTGGTGGCGCACGCCTTTAATCCCAGCACTTGGGAGGCAGAGGCAGGCGGATCTCTGTGAGTTCGAGACCAGCCTGGACTACCGAGCGAGTTCTAGGACAGCCTCCAAAGCCACAGAAAAACCCTGTCTTGAAAAACCAAAAAAAAAAAAAAAGAAAAGAAAAGAAAAGAAAAAAGAAAAGAAAACTCAAGCACACAGCAATGCATACTAGTTGAAAGGTCTTAACTTTGAAAATTACTTTGGAGACTGGGGGTGTAGCTCAGTAGTACAGTGTTTCAGGACATGACCAAGGCCCCAGTTTCAATTCCACTGCTAAAATAAATTACTTTTAAAAATTGTTTTAAAATGAAATTATTTTTGAGCTATAAAATAAATATCTTGTTCTTCCTAAGCCACTAACTCCAAAAGATGAAATCACAGTATAAGCCATATGTGAACCTCTGATTTGGATCAGGAAAGTCAGAGGGGGGTGCTGCAGGACCTCTGTAGTCACTCAAGAGGATTTGGGAGATCAATTTGGCAATGGTGCTTTGGGCATATGAAGCAAGAAGAGACCAGAAGCAGGGAGTCTATAGTGGTAAGATGCCATAGGGCATGATGGTGTCCACCTGTAATCCTAGAACTAGGAAGGCTGTCTTAGGATTTCTATTGCTGTGAAGAAACACCATGACACGGCAACTCTAAAAAAAAAAAAAAAAGGAAAACAATTAATGGGATGGCTTTCTTACAGTTCAGAGGCTCAGTTCATTATCATCACAGTGGGACATGGCAGCATGTAGGCAGACATGGTGCTGGACAAGGAACTGAGAGTTCTACAGTTTGATCTGCAAGCAACAGGAAGTAAACTGAATCCCACACTGGGTGTAGCTTGAGCATAGGAGACCTCAAAGCCCACCCCCACAGTGAGACACTTCCTCTAACAAGGCCACACCTACTCCAACAAAGCCATACCTCCTAATAGTGCCACTCCCTTTGGGAACCACTTTCTCTCAGACCACCATATGGGTAAGAAGAGCAGGAGTTTGAGGTCAGCCTGAGCTATATGAGGCTCTGTCTGAAAAACACAAGGATCAATGAATGGCTCAGTAGGCAAAAGTATTTGCTTCAATGATGTGGGATATCCTTCTGTAGGCTGTGAATATGTGTTGCTTTTATTGGTTGATGAATAAAACTTTTCTGGCCAATGGCTTCTCAGAGTTAAGCCAGGCAGGAAATCTGAACAGAGATAGATAGATAGATAGATAGATAGATAGATAGATAGATAGACAGAGAGACAGAGAGAGAGACAGAGAGAGAGAAGGTGGGGTGGAGGAGACACCATGTAGCCTCTGGGGAGACAGGATGCCAGGGCATCCCTGGTAAGTCGCAGCCCAAGGGTTTTGATAGAAGAACAGGCTTCTCCTTCTCAAACAATTAATTACCTGGGTAATGTGAAGATGTAAAGGGATATGAGCAACTTTCTAGAATCATGCTGAGTACAGGAAACACCCAAACTCCCTGAAACTTGTCTCTCTTAGCACCCATCCCAGCCCGTACACCTGCCCGCTCAAACATTTACCCACCGTGCCCCCGTCCGTCCACCTATCCACACTACATCCGGCAGCTAGCTCAGTTGGTAAAACAGGAGACTCTTAATCTCATATATATAATGATTTTCTTAGATGGGGTCTCTCTATTTATAGCCCAAGCTAGATTCCTGCCTCAGGCTCTCAGCAGAATTATGCACTACAGCCTTAGGCAAATTAGGAATGCCTGAGAGTCTGTGGGGGGGGGGAACAGGGTGTATACCTTGGCCAGGGCATGAGACTGGAAATCCATAAGTACTCCTCATTAAATATAGACAGCACACCTGCCAGGAAGACTTGAGGCTGAGTACCCCCAAAGTTAGAGGAGGCAGTCACTGTCCATTAAGTCCCTGGTCTTGACCCCCTGTGCTGCAAACTGCTCACACCAGACATTTATTACCAGTTGTTTTTCGTGGTCATCAAAATCAGACTGAAGGCCCTATAGGTGTAGTTGGGTTGGTAGTGCATTCACCCAGCATCCATCAAGCCCTGGATTTGATACACAGTATGATACAAATGGATCTTGGTGACACATACTTGTAATCCTGGAGACCTTGACCGGGTTTGTTTTCTCTGCCAGTTACAGAATAAAAAGGAGGCCGGACAGTGGTAGTGCACACCTTTAATCCTAACGCTCTGGAGGCAGAGGCAGGCAGATCTCTGTGAGTTTGAGGCCAGCCTGGTCTACAGAGTGAGTTCCAGGACAGCCAAGGCTACACAGAGAAACCCAGTCTCTAAAAAGAAATGGGGGGGTGGGGTGGGGGGAGAAAAGAAAAGGCAGGAAAAAATTTGAGCTCAATAGGTGGTAGCAGAGAAATCTTAAATAGCACAGACAACAGCAGATAGTATCAGAAGTTAAATAAAGGCCTTTATTGAAGGTGAGGAAACCCATACATTGGGCAGACACTCAGAGAAAAAGACCCCCCCATAAAGCAGAGGGGGGGCTCAGAAAGTCAAAAACTCCAGTCTCTTCTCTCTGAAGTCTCTTCTCTCTTCCCTAATTTCGGGTTGGTCAATTGGAAGAAAGAAGGGTTGAACTGGTCAGTCACTGTTGTGTATCATGTGCTAATCTAGTCTTGAGCTGGCGGGGGCCTGCTGGTGGGAGAAAAAGCCTGTAGGAGACTAGGAGTGAGATGGAGTCCACAGCAGGTAGACAACCTGGGACAGGGTCCACGGCTAGGCAATGTCTATTAAGGAATAGCCTAAGTCCTAGTCTCTCTAGGATCAAGTTTGTGGCTGAGGAGGTGCCTGCCATGTGTACACAAAGACCAGAGTTCAGATCCTTGGCACTCACTTGACAGCCAGGCCCTGGGGAGCAGAGAGAGGTGGATTCTGGAGTCTGCTGGCTAGCCAATCAAATCAATCTGGGAGTCCTGGCTGTGGTGAGAGAATGTCTCAAATAAAATGAAGTATGATTGGGGAAAGATGCCCAACTTTGAACTCTGACCTCCACAAGCGTGGGCATGCACCTCCCTTCACCCACACAAATTTAATTAATCTATAAAATGTTAAAATATGTTTTATTTGCACATTTGGGTGGCCCTAGTTGCAAATAGAAGCATTTACTCTTCTCTGAGCTATGTGGAAAAGAGATAGCAGAGAGATGCATTGTTTGAAGGTGCTGCCTAGCAGTTAAAATAGCACCCTGCCAGAAGGTGGTGATGCACACCTCTAATCCCAGCAGAGAAGGCAGGCAATCTCTGAGTCGAATTCGACGCCATCTTAGTCTACAGAGGGAGTTTCAGGAGAGCCAAGGCTACACAGAGAAATCGTCTCAAAACAAAACAAAACAAAATAAACAAACAAACAAAAAACCGAAACAAACAAAATAGCACCTTCACAACTGTTAGAAAGTAAGTTAATAAAGTCCTTTGCTCCCCTTAAGTCCGTAAGCTAGAGCAGCTACCGCCTTGGGTTGCTGGCTTTCTTTTGTTTCCAGGGAGTGAAGAGGAAGCTTTTGTTTCATTCCCCCCAGCATGCACTTCTCTCCCTTCCTGTGGTAAGATCTTCTACTAGTAATACTTACTTTGTAGCCACAGCTGATAACATTGTTCCAAATAACTAACACTGCTGGAAGCCAACTGGGCAAGGAGTAGGCAAACTCCAAGGCGGTGTGTCTATGCCCCAGAGTTGTTTTAAAACTAGAAGTCCATGATGAATGCAAGGATGTCTTTCTTAATTGTAAAGCACTTTATGAGATTCACATTTACAGAATGATACAGCCAATTCAAACCCCTAATACTAAAAATTAAAACTGAAAACAAAACCCGGAGGTAGGAGAGATGGCTCAGCTGTTAAGAGCACCTACTGCACAGGTTCCGTACCTAGCACTCACGTGGTGGCTCACAACCGTCTCTACCTCCAGATCCTGGGAACCTTCAAGCACACGGTGCACTTACATGCAGACAGACAGAACATTCAGATGTACATGCACACAGGCACACACACACACACACACACACACACACACACACACACACACACACAAAGAAACAGAGTCTTTCTACCTAGCCCCTGCTGTCCTCGAACTAGCTGGCCTCAAACTCACAGAAATCCACCTGCTCTTGCCTCTGAAGAGCTGGGATTGAAGGCATGGACCACCATACCCTGCCGATCTTAAAAAATTAAAAATAGGGCTGGAGAGATGGCTCAGCGGTTAAGAGCACTGACTGTTCTTCCAGAGGTCCTGAGTTCAATTCCCGGCAACCACATGGTGGCTCACAACCACCTTGAATGAGATCTGGTACCCTCTGTTGGCCTGTAGGCAAAAGGCTGTATGCACAATAAATAAAATAGTTTTTAAAAATTAAAAATAAAACCTAACCCAACACCCCCGAAAGAAATGAAAAAGTTCCAAGTCATCCTCTGCTATGTAATTTTGAGGCCACCCTGGTCCTATACACCCTGCCTCCCTGCACATCAGACTAGGCTTCAGAGCCTAGAGAATATTGAGAGAGAGCAACAGACATAGAAGGTG